AACTGGGATTTTTATGTGATGCATATACATATATGTATATATGTATGTACATATCTCCATATGGCTAAGAATTTATTTCGATTTGCTGAACAACAAAAATCAATCGACCATTCTTTTGAAAAACTTTGTCGCACAGTGTTAAGAGCATTGCTGATTGCTACATGCCACAACAACATGCAGACACGCATACGCAGCCACACCACACTCTCATAGATACACACTTGCAACACACAAGAGCTCAACAGCGCAAGCGCACTCGCCGCTTAACTTTGCTGACCATGTACCCATGTAGCCAAGTAGCCATCTAGCCATGTACATACATATGTACATATATGGCTGTGGCTGCCGCCTAGACCAGAGACCAGCGACCATCGACTAGCGACCATCGACCATCGACCAGCGACCAGGGATCCACAAAGGCAACGCGTCGCCCTTGTATCTTATGGATGCGTCGAATACATAACTCTTTGTTATTGGCCTTGAATGTCCTAAGCACGGAAAAGAGGTCATTGTCGCATAATACACCACCACCACACACTGCCCATCCAGACAGAAGTCCAGAAGCAGCCCAGAAGCAGCCCAGAAGCAGAACTGGTGGACAACGCCAGAGACAGAGCTCTGCTCTCTCGCTCCCCCATGGGAGCAGAGCAGCGAAATCTATGCAATCTGTGCACATACATACATATGTATGTACATACATACATACATACCTAGATATGACATACATACATAGATATGCGCACATACACTTTTTTCAATTCTTCCCTTCTTCTGTTTTAAAATTCCTAATTAATGTCAGCACGCATTTTAATGACTGTAATTGAAGTGTTATTTTCTTGGCCCTTTCTGCAAAAGAGACATGTCCATTGTCGATTTTCCATTAGCCATTGTCCATGCCTATGATCACGGACCTCGAACCTTGAGCTTTGAGGTCTGCCTTCTGTAATTTGGCGACTGGAGGCTAGACGCTGTCTGTGTGTGCAAGTGGCCTTGCAGTCTCGATTTGACTGATTGGGGAAATGTGGTGTGTTTATGCCAATACAATTGTTTTTCGATTTAATACAGTCGAACTTCCGTAGGAAGCCTTTTTTCCTGAATTTTTCGCGTTTTTGTTGTCTCTCTCCTTTTGTACCAGCTTCTTCTTTCATCTCCCGCAATAATGACTGACGTATTGCATCATCCTATAGTCATCTCTTTCAGCAATTCCTTTGTGATCTTTCTTCTACTTCTCTCTCACAGACAAGGTGGTCCGATAACTCTCGTTCGGGTCTTATTTTACGCTCAGCACTACTGAGAGCGCGTTGACGTCGCTTTGTTGAGAGAGAGAAGAGCGCAGTTTGCTGTTGCGCGTTGCGAGTGCGGACCACCTGAGACGACTCTCTTTCGCTCTTTCTCTCTCAGATTACGTACTACTCTTTACTGCGTAGTTGCCGTCTTTGCCTATTGATACCCCTCTTCCTTGCTTCTGTGATTCCACTATAATTCCTGCTCAACGACTACAGATACGTTATAATTGTATGAAACACCGACCCATACGAAAGTTATCTGCTGAGCAATGCACCAAGGACAGTGGCACGCAGACCATTTCCTGCAGAGCTCTCGGGTCTGCATCGCCCTTATTCAAGCCTTCTGTCAGCCTCCAGCCTCCAGCCTGCAGCCTCCAGCCTCATCAGCCGAATTGTCAGAGACAGCAAGAACAAGTAGAAGTACAAGTATAAAAAACGTAGCCATTTGAAATTTAATCTTTTGCAGACTGTTGTTCTTTGTTTGTCGGTTAATTTCTTGTCGACCTGTTGATTGTGTTCGGCTGACTATGCAAGATACAAGATACAATATACAAATGTACAGCACAAGTACATGGAGTACTAGAAGCCGCATCATGGATCAAGACAATTAACTGTGGACATTAATTCTAGGAAATATAAAAATAATTATCACTGCGAAAAGGTTTTTCAGTCGTTTCTATTCACTCAAACCTGGTCGGTCGTGGGGCAGAGTAATTGGCCAACCAGCCAACCAGGAGGGGCGGCCAGTGGCAGGTGGGCGGAGGAGCGACCGATGACTTTTGCCAGTTCAAAGAAAATATGAACCATCCTCCATCTCCATCTCCATGCATGGCATGGCATGGCATAACAGATGCTGCGGATGAATCGGATTATTCCTCAAATTCTGTGGCAGTTCTGGCAGTTTGGCGGTCAGTCCGACGCTCACGTGCCGGCAATTACAATTACCATGCGTCACATTATCAGCGACAGAAGTGACAAATAGCAGCAGTAGCACAATAGGCAGAAATACACACATCAGCAAAATACTGATGGAATACGTACAGATATACATGTACATACATATCTCTATATAGAAATTAATGAGAATAAATGGCAAATGGGTGCTAATGCGGGAGGGAACCAGAGCAGAATCATTGGAGCGCTCATCTCATTTCACAACTTGTTTTTGAATCAACGAACCAGGAAGGTGGCATCCATCCGCCAGTGCCAGTGCCAGTGCCATTGCCAGTGCCAGTGCCACTGCCGCTACCTCCCCCCCAACTGCCTAACTGCCACTCCTTGTCTGTTGTCTCTTGCCTGCTGGATCCGATCCCTTCCCCCCGACCACACATGCCTGATCGCCTCGCCTCCCCTCCCCTTCCCTTTCCTTCCACTGATCATTACCTCGTCGTTCGTCGCTCGTCGCTCGTCACTCGTCACTCTGTTTCTGCCTGTGATTTAATTTAATTTTTCTAAGCACAAAACCTAAACTGTTTCACTTTGTCAACTTGTCGCTGTTTGTCAGTTTGCGGCCACAGCAGCCGTAGCAGTCGTAGCAGCCACAGCAGCCACAGCAGCCACAGCCATTGATTAAGCTTAATTTGTTGCTTCAAATGCAGGTCAAACCTTTCGAAATCTCTCGGCATTAGGCTAATGTCTAATGCATTCCCTCCTCCCTCAGCTGAAGATTTATTTACCAGTGTGGATGGATGTGTGGAGCATCTGCAGGGGTGGCCTGGGGTGCACATGTACTCCACTCCTCACCTTGACTTTTGTTGTCACAGCCACTGTGTGGAATGACTCATTGGAATCATTGGCTCATTGACATACATATGTACGTATGTACATACGATCATGTATGGATGATGGATGATATGCGTTGAGAAAGTATAGATTTATTTCCATTCGTATTCTAACGCTTCCTATTCAAATGCTCATCATTTTACTTTATCGCTTCAGCAGCAATTTTTATGCTCACAATTTCGTTGGTATTGCCTGCATGTATACATACATACATACATATGTACATGTGTTTGTCCAAATCCTAAATGTAACGCTCTCACACGCATAGCCAAAACCCGCAGCTGCACACGCACACAGCGATGCGTTCCGTTTTTGCATTGGGCGCGTCGCATCGCGTGATCTTCCAATTCCCTTTTGCTCGACTTCTTTTCGCGGAGTTGAGTTAGTCGGAAAAAATTCTAGCTGAAACCAACCGCAGACCGCCCGCTATCCATTTAAAACACGTTGTCAAATACCCTGTAAACCACCAATATTAACCCATATATTAAATGTACAATCAGTATAAAAGATAATACAGTCCACTAATGCTCGTTGTGGTTAAGTTCAAGTGCGTGCAATACCCCATCCTCCTACGTAAATCCTCATCTTATTTTCAAGTGCAGCAGCAGCAGCAGCAATAGCAATAGCAATACTTAATTATATGCTGTTCAGTGTCAGTAAGTGCCCCCCTTTTTTACATAACAATTGCGTTCCCTCAAACTGCATAAATGTGCTGAATTTTTTGACTTTATATTCCATGTGAAGTTCAGAGTATATTCGGACTCTGCGACTGTATGAAACGAGCATCGAGATGCGCTACGAAATGCACTTAATTGCAAAATCCGATACACTTCTAATTTCCTTATTTAACTCCAGCATTTTCATATTTTCTAAACACTGGCGTTTAGCATGTGGAAAACTTGAACGTAGTAAGTGTGAGTGCGAGCACTACCTACTATATGGTATACACCACAACCAACAACGACAGACATTTCACAAGCACAGCAACAACAGCAACAGCAGAGGTTTTCTATTTCTATTTTAAAAGTAGTCGACCGCTAATTGAATTCAATTTGCATGCATTAGTGGCCCCATCGAGCAGAGGAGAGAAGAGTCCAAAGCTAAGCTGAGGAGGAGGTGTATCTGTCTCATCCATCCACCATCCACCAACCACTACTCTGCCTCGTACGAGGCTCATTGACCCTCCTCCTTAGTTCTCCGAAAGCTGCTTCTCCTCACACTCCTTCTGAGTGGAGCCGTTTCTGCTGATAGATGAATCCATCCTTCTATAGATCAATCTCAGCTCCATCTCTGGATAGTACTGGAGACACTTGACAAGGTCATGCTCGGTGCTTTGGTGCTTTGGTGCTTCGCCGATTCAGTGCTCCGAAGTTAGGAGCTCTAATTATTTGTACAGCAAATAACCGAGCAGCCGTGAATATCGTTGTCACCTGTCACCTGTCCCTTGTCCCCTCTGTCCGTGGATCTGCTCTGATTTGATCTCTGACGTTTTTTTGATTTGCGTATTTGCGTGCTGTTCCAAATAAGTAGTTCAGTTGTTTAGATAATGATTAGGGTAGTGGCTTCCATGTGGCTGCCATGTGTCATGGCTGCGAGCTAGTGACTAATTTTTGTGCGCTGTTTCTTTCTTTTTTGTCGTTGCTCAAAATTGAAACAACGCTTATGGTATCCAGCCCATAAGGGCGTTCGGACCGAAAGTGACCATCGGCAGCAGCAGCCAGAAATCAATAAGCATAACAGGTTGCATGTTGCAGGTTGCAGGTTGCAACAGGTCTTCTATTTATAGTCTGCAATTCTTATAGCTTTCGAACCATAGCTTTCTTGGCTAAAATTGGAATCGCTCAGAGTACGGTGTACGGTACGGGAGTACGGGGTATATGCTGTTTCTAGTTTCTTGACGCGAACTTTCTGCTTTCTGCTCCACCATTGCAGTGTCCCAACATTAAGCAATACCTTCTGCGCCAACGCCGGGAGGAGAGCTTGGGTACGGCAGACACGGCAGATGGCTTGTCGAATGCCCCCTCCATTGCGCAGATCAATGGCTGCCTGCAGGACAGGAGGAGCAGCGATAGCGAAGAAGAGTTCCTCCCAGGCGCAGTACGCAGTCTCGAACATGAGGGACAGGATGTGCTACGAAAGCTGCTCGCCATAGATCCGCGACAACGGATTCGCAGTGTGATGGCGCTGCAAAGGATTGCTCTTTACAAGGGATACAAACTGACCTCGAAGCAGCTGCTGAGCGTAAGTTCCATACGGGGAGATTACATCCGATCCGAACGTAAGGCCTTCAACGTTTAATGTTTCGACAGCTTTCTCCACTGGGCATTATTACCAGAGACGGCATCCGGGTCTACGAAGACAGCCAGTTTGATCCAATATCCAGCCAGTTGGCGATCAAAGCATTCCAGGACTTCTGACTTGGGTAGCCAGGAGACACTTGTTACAGCTCCAGCTTTAGCTCCAGCCATATTTACAAAATTCTAAAACCTGCACAGTACCCATCGGCCCGCCGGATGTGTCCCGATGATAATCTGAATATTTCTAATTATTTTAAAATATTTTTTTATAACTAATGATTGTTGCTTGCTTGCGGGAATTTCCAAATTGTATTGTTTTTAAAGATTTTCTTGGAATAATTAGAACAAATTTTACAATTGATTAAATTTGAGTTATTCCTCAGCCTGTCTTGCCCTGCCCTGACCTGCCGAAGATAATGGCAGCTAAGCTGGAAGATAAATATTAAAAAAAGAAGCAAAGTAAGGTTTAGGGTACTTGTGTGCAGAACATGAAGTACAGTTCAAGGTAGAGCTCTACTAGCCTTTTCGCAGTATTCTCTGCGCTAGGAGAGTTTTCAATTTTCTGTCGAAAAATGCAAAAGGCATTCCACGTGGAGTACGCCTAGGCCTTAAGAAGACAAATTTTAATTTTTATATGTTGAAGTCCGGGGAGGTAGCGTGGTGTATTGAGCTTCCGCTTCCTTCCTCACATGAACTAGTAGTATTTGAAAGTTCCACCCAAAAGCTGCAACAGCTGCTTGAAAGCTTTGCCAAACACTCTCTTGGCACTCGTTCTCTTGCACTCGCTCTCTTGGCGCAAGTCTTCGGCAGCAGAGAAAAAACCGGGAGTGGGAGATTGAGAGGGAGAAAGGGAAAGGGACAGAGAGTGAAGTTCCTGTGGTGCTGCTGGAAATTGTTGCAGAGAGGCAACAACAGCAGCAGCGCAGTTAAAAAAATTCTTTAACAATAAATACACACACATTCATATGTACATACAGTACGTGTCGTACATACACATAGATGTAGAGGTAAATCGCGATACGTGAAAAAAACATACAACTCAAAAGTATGGAAATTTGTTTCTAAAAGTATACTTAAGTGGACATTTCCAGTGCTACATGCCACAGAGTGCAGCGTTAAGCTCTCCGAAGTACATATGTATGTACATACGTAGTATGTATGTACACCCAGATGTATGTATGTACACACGCCAATGTGTGCGTGTGTTGAAGACCCGAAGATTTTCTAACCTGGATAAAATATACATCACATCAATATATCGCCATGCAATGCTGAGCACTTGAACTAGAAGCCACTACAAAGATACAGCATACTGGATACAGGGTACAGGGTACAGGGTACAGGATACAGGATACAGCCAACATGTCGCTGGTCCACACGTTTCTCGGAACCTGGGAGGTAAGCAGCAGTCCCCCAAATCACGCCTGGCCTGGCTGGTGTTTCACATGCCCCGGGCCCCGTGCCCCATGCCCCCCTTTTTTTGTCTATTGACAGATTGTCTGCTGCACCTTCGAGGAGAAGCGTGAGCTATCTGGCCTAGAGGGGTATGTATGTTGTGTGCGACATTGACATTTAACTTTCTGACACCTTCTGGAATTTTAGAATCAAATTTCGCCTAGACGATACCAGCGATATTACTTGGTATAATGATTTGGTCAGTCCACTTCCTGAAACACAAGACTGCGGCACTTTCTGCGACTCGGCGAGTGTTTTATTTAGCTGTGAGACCTTCGATGTGCACGAGACGAATCCCCGTCTCGTGTTTGGAGCCTTTGCCGGCCACAGCATTGAGTTTAGCGTGAGTATTCTCCAATCACAGTCCCAATTCCAATCCCAATCCCGAACCCGTACATATGTTTAGTATGTAAGTATAGTCTAGGCGGATTAACTAACGCTGTCTTAGGTTTACGTTACCTTTTAGACCAACACCTTAACACCGACTGATACGCTGGTGCTCAGTTGTGAGAACTGGTACGCCGTCGAATGCAAGCGACTGCAAGACGGCCAGGCTGCCGGTCAGGAGAAGCAACTGAGCTTTGGCGAAGCCCTGCAGGAGTCCTACTTCAGCGATGTGATGGTTAAGAGCGCCAATGGATTGGAATATGCCCTGCATGCCTCCATTCTGCGGCTCAACGGATTCGACTGCAGTATGTGCGTTAACAGTGCTCCGGCATCATCGCGACAAGTCGTCAAAAGTGCACCTGGAACTGGACCTTGTCATAGCGGACCAAACACACCCAATCCCAATCCGAATCCAATTCGAATTTCCGTGGCCCACGCCACCGGCGATGATGAGCACCAGAAGTCATTGCCGCGCCTGAATCTATCGCCCATTTATCTCCAGCCCCCCTGTGATTTCCAGACTCTGGCGGGTCTGGGGGCCCAACGAGTGCACCAATTCAGCAGCAGCTTCAACTGCCTCAGCAATGGCAACGATTCGGAACCGGCGATCAGTGCAGGGGGCACAGGCACGGGCCTGCTCAGCGTCGAGTGCGGTGGTGGCATGTATCGATTTCCGCCTACCTCACATTCCGACTCGCACCTGGAAACGTCGCAGTCCCACTGCAAGAACATATTCAATTTTTGTCAGGATCTAATAATACAGCCAACCCCATCCCCGTTGCTGCCTGCGGGCGGATTGAGCGCTGGCCTCGCTGTATGCAGCATTAGGCGACCGCCTTTGTCGCCGTATCGGGCCCGCAGCCCTTCGCCGTTTCCCAGCTCCATGGACACGCCGCCGTCGTCCCCACTGACACCGGTAGGCGTTCTGTGCAACTTGCCCACTTTCCTCTTGAGCCCCATTCTTCACTGGCTGTACACGGAGTCCATGCTCCCGGACCTTGAGGAGGATGTCTGCGAGAAGCTGATAGACTTTGCCGAATCGCAGCCATCGCTGACTAAACTGGTAGAGCCAACGCGCAAGTACCTGAGGCTGATGAAACTGAAAAAATGTAACTAGAAACCAAATATCCAAATGTCTAAACAACCAAGCTCCAGTTTCTGATCTCTGATCTCCAATTGCAGTTGTTGTCAACGTGACTATGAATCTACATGGGATCCTTAATCGCGTTATACAGTGCATCAATCCCGTGAGCATCTCACACGAGCCTGCGCAGCTGTGTGTCACGTTTCAGGATGCGTTGCGAGAGTGTGCCATAGGTAAGAGAGCGGCAACATACCTTTCAGATGCCACAGATCAGAGTTCCCAGCTCACTTTTTTAATGTGTTCGTGCGATTGCCAGGTTGCGCGAAGGTACTGCAATTCTGTAATATTTTCATCACGGATGCCACACATATGACGCGATATCAGAAGAATGAAATTGTCAAGTATATCCGCACCCGTATTCCAATTTTCATGTCACAAATACAGCAGCTGCTGCGCAACGTGCTCGGTGTCTTTGTGGGACTAACTGTCGAGGAGAAAGCCGAGCTGGTGAACTATCTAGTACCTGAAGTGAGTAAACAGAGCCGAGCCACATTCCATTGCATTCCTCCCCTACACCACTGACTCGTTTCCACAGATTGAATCCACATTATTTGTATTAACTGCTGTGATAGAAGAAATCAAAAACTCGTTGGAAATTATGTGCAAGGTACGTACCGAACTTTGACTGATGGAATGATTGATCAACGCTCTCTCTCCCTCACTTCCCCTTAGGACCTTAATTGCTCCCATTTGGAACTGCCACAGCAACAGCAGCAGGCAGATGATGCTATTGTCATGCAACTGCACTATGTCGATCCGGGCGGCGGTGAACCTTCGGTGCCACGGCCCCGTCGCGGTGCTCCCGTGGGTCTTACACTCTACGACAATCACCACACGGACAAGAAGCGTCTGAGCTCCGCCGAGAACGATCTGAAATTCGTTCTCTACATGTATGAAGTGCGGAAAATGCGTGACATTTACGGACGGATTGTAGCTGCCCTTGAAATAATCAATGATAAAAAGTATATAGATATATGCTGGATCTGTCTCGACTCCCATTCATGCTGCCATTTCATTTCTGTCTGTCTTTCCAGAACGACATTCTGCGACATGGATTTCCTAAGCAAGATTAGTACAATTAATCAAAACTTAGAGCAGCTGATTGTTGACATTCCCGCATATATTTTCATAGTCGAGAACATGTCTGATCGCCTCGATGACAAATTGGGCTGGAAGGAGTTTAAGTTTTGCTTTAAGCTGGCCACCAGTCAGATTGTGAGTAAATCAATAGATGCCATAGATGCGATTAGATGGATGATTCTCTTTCCCATGTACAGAACGGCGTTATCGCAAAGCTTCTGGATCACAAGAGTGCCCTACGAGACGCCATCAGTCAGATATGTATGCTGGTGCACAAGGAGGAATTCACGCAGTCTCTTATTGAACTGGGACTATTGGACTCCAGTGGCTCCTCCAGTGGGGAGGCGAGCCAAGATTTGAAAATGGCCGATCATGAAAATAACCTGAATGTGAGCTTGAGTAATGCGGAACAGCTTCGACTCAATCAACAGCATTATTATGACTACAAGAGCATTAAGGTTTGCACTGCACCGATCACGGATAGCTTTATCCATTTTCTTGATCCCTTTATCGTCTTCTATCCCTTAGTTAAATCTCATTCGACATCTTTGCGAACCACCGATTGCAGCCAACAGCAATCTGTCGAAGAACGCACTCCGCTTGTTGCACTCCACCCAGCTGGCGGACATGGAGTTCGAGGTGCACACGCATGCATCAACCGGAAATGCGTTGGACACAGAGGCCACGCCGACATCAACATCAGCCTCCACCGGAGGAGGAGAACCTGCGTCATCAGCTTTGCAGGTGCACAGCTTCAAGGCACATCGCGTAATTGTCGCTGCTCGATGCGAATGGTTTAAGAAGGCCCTGATGTCTGGCATGCAGGAGTCAATCAATAGAAAAGTCATCATCACGGACACCTCGCCGGTGATCTTTCGCCGCTTGCTGTTGTACCTCTATGGGGCACCAATTGATCGTACGGTGGGGGCCGAGCAGGTCTGCGAACTGATGCTATTGGCAGATCGTTATTCCATTGATGATCTAAAAGTAAGTGGGGAATGGAGTCACCATTCCACCCGGGTGCATCCGTCCCTAACACACTCTCTGCTTTAACAGGAACTGTGCGAGAATACATTGTACTCTCTGATTGACGAGGACTCGGTGGTCTGTCTTCTGGGCATTGCGGATAGATACATGGCTACTGCTCTGAAGTCGAAATGCCTCTCATTCCTATCCCAGCATTCACAGCTCACCAAGTGCGAAATATTTAAGGAATTGCCGCAAACCCTCCAGGTGAGAGCCCCCCCGCATTGAAAGCCTTTTGAGTTAACTGACCTCTGAACCTCTTTCCATTTTAGCTAGAGGTAATGGATCTAATACATTGGTTCGGCCGTGTTTCGGAGCCTTGGAACGATCGTGGATTCAAGCCGCGCAGTAGTTCTCGGCATAGCCTCAAGAGCCCCTCGAAGCCACGTTCGCGATCCCGAAAGTCCTCGCCATCCTATATGTGACGCCGGCAAAGCGCCACTGAACACACGACGAATGCCAACTTCTTGTGATAATTCTAGAAGACTTCGGAATCGAATGAAACGGTAGTCTGTAAGGGTGACACGGATGGTAACATGGTAACAAGAGGAAGGGCTATGGCTTAGTCAGATGCCAAAATAGCAAACAAAAAATTACGAAAAGGTGTGGTTCACAAGGCTAATATGTACTAGGACTTTCACTTTGACTCTGGTCTCAGTAGCATAACTAAAAATCAAGCCAAAACTCAAAGGGAAAAACCGGCAAAAATTACCTGATTTTAAAAGTTTTTTATTTAGTTCTCTAATATGTAGATAGAAATAATTTGATCACTCGTATTACTCGTAAATACATACATACATATGTAGGTATTTATATACTATTGAGAACAAAAAAGACCGCGCAGTATAACATTTTCTCTCTAATTAATTGATGTACGAGTGTATATGCAACAAAAAAGAAAATTTTTGATAAATGCAAGTGATCTTTGCGCAAATAGGTATGGTATTGTATTGTGTACGTCTTCGACCATAACACGCACACACTAGTATTTTATTCGCATTGGACGGACCACTCTCATGTTTTTCGCTATGAGGTTCGATTCCGAATGTGTTTGTATTTTTGACATTTACTATACATCTAGAGGTACCATATATATGAATGTGTATGTATGTTTGTATTCAAAATAGTATAAATTATAGTAAAACTTATGAAATTTGTGTAACATAACATGTTAATATTGCTATTACATATATGTATGTACATTATGTTACCGAAACATAGCACTCAATTTGTACGACTCGAAGAGCCCATGCAAAGATATCGGCGTTTGCCATAAAATGTGTGTATTACCGAAGACTATACAGTACCAAGATGTGGCATGAAGGACGGTACCAAGAAACTCTTCTATGGCGTAGACAGGGGCGCGTGCGGGGCTTCAGTTCTCTTTTAGGCTATCCCTCGCATGTGACCGTGGCCCACTGCCTACCCACTCGGGTTCGGCCACTCAGCTCGTCTGGGTCCCAAACTTTTCTAGCAACAAAATGTACATATATTGTACAGTCTTTGGTACTACACGACTGGACTGGACTGGACTGTACTGGACTGATGGGTACCGTGCTTGATTCTTCGGCGTGTAACGATCTGTATCTGTATCAGTATCTTTATCTATATCTGTGTATCTGTGACTGCTTTTCATTTGATTTGGGGGACCCTCTTCCAAAATGTGCTCGCCTAGTACTTGTAATCTGATGGGTAGATAGAATCTTGTAGTTCTGAAACTGAAAATAACTGAAAAACTGAAATTACAATGCAGCTACATTTAGGGTAGACTAAAGTGATCTGAGAACTAATCTTATTGCTAACAGAAAACTGTACATAGATTTGGTATTTAAAGCACTCGATTACTTCAAATATATGTAAAACTGGACAATGCACGTGTACGTTTTTATATGTAATGTACATACTTAAATAGATGCATATGTATAACGGTCAAATAACAGCTAACATAATTAATTAACAGATTATTTTCAACAATACTTCTTGTACTTGATCCTTGATCCTCAGTGTAACCTACGATTAATGATGACTTCAACGTGTACAAACATTGTGTTTATAGTTATTTAATACATTTCTTGTTGTATTTTTGAAAAAAAAAAACAAAACACAAAAAAAGTCTTATTAATTCTGAAAATAAAATAATTTAAAATCCGTGTGTACATCAAACTATTGTGTGTTTTTCGCATAGATCTGGTTCGGCTGAATGAGCCATATAAAAGTCTATTCCAGAAATAGAGGAGAGCATAACAGGAAGGGAGGTGTTGAAATTTTTGAATTTAGTGCTCTTTGGCGCCAAAGGTAGAGATGAGCCACGATAGGCGATATATCCCTACGTGCACAGATGTCCCGCTAACAGCAGCGGTGTTGAAAATATCGCTCGCAATGGCCATGGGGGGGGGGGGGGGCAGTGGCAGTCCTATTGGAAGGGACAGTGGCTCTTGCAAGGTATATTCATTCATCATACATATTGTGATATAATGATTTAATTAAGCCATCGTCCCAATAAGAAAAAAGCTCAAATTAAGAGAGTACATATGCATATGTGCATGTATAATAGATCCAATAAGTTATTACATTAAACTTTCATACTTATTGTACATACATACACACATAGAAACATCCCCTTTTATGTATAATCCTTGCTGCTCATTTGCTCGCGACTTTTCGTACCGTACCGTACCCCTTCCAGTTCCGTTCCGTTCCCTTTCCGATTTCGTTCTTGCTTCTGACTTCCAGCGGAACAGTTGCGGGAACTGTTGTTGGATGCCTGCTGCCTGCTGTAGCAGCTTTTCCACAGAAGTGCGAGAGATACCAAAAACCGAGCGGAGCGTTTTCGCTCATTCGGTTTTGGCGCTCTGCTCTATCTTTCTCTCTCTCTCTCTCTCTCTCTCAGTTTTTATTTTACTTCGTTTTTCTCTGTGGGCTGCCTGCGCGCTGCATTTGACCGCGACTCAGTAGCAAAGGAAAATCCATTTTCCATTTTTCTAGACGCGGACACAGGCTCTGAGTATCGTGTGCGGCGGACGTCCTTGTCCTTCGTGCGTCGTTTGCTCGCACTGGCTGACGGTTTTTGGTGAGCATAATCAAAATGGATGAAAAAATGAGAAAGCCAGGATGAAAATTAACAAAAAAACAAAAAAAATTATCCGCTGTCGTAACTGGATTCTGAAAACTTGCCAATACGTCTCAAAAATTCGCTGATATCGAAAAATAAATAGAAAACTAATTAAATAAAAGCTGTGCTGCCTACGAAGTGCATTCGGAGTGTGATACAATTTTTTTCTAATTTTTTTTTTTAGAAATTTTTGTGCGTGTTAAGTGCAACAAAAAAATAATAAGAATACGTGGAAAACGAATCGAATCGAGATTCTTCGAATGAAGAGGAAGACCATCCACAAAAAACCAAAACCAAAAGCAAAAGCAAATGGGAAAGGCAGCGCAATAAGGCAGAAAAAATACTTTGCCTGTGTGTGCAAAAGTGAGTCTGTTCTGTTCTGTTCCGTTATGTTCTCTTCTGTTCCGTTCTGTTCTGTTCTGTTAGTTGTGTGTTAGCATTGACAGTGAAAATTTTTGTTGTGTTGTGAGTTTTTGCGTTACAGTTATGCCTCCTCTGGACGTCTTTTGAGTGGAGGATGTGTGTCTGGGATGTCTTACGTATACATACATACAAACATACATACATACATGTATGTACATATGTTTCTTTGAAAGTGTTTATGTTGATGTGCGCTCGTGCTTTAAAAATTGTTTCAGTTGGTTTTTTGGCTAAACAATTTGTTTTGCTTGACCCAGGAAAGTACACGGCACATACACCCGTACACACACACAAATACTCATGTCGTGTGTGTGCACACAACTAAACAATATGGTATATAGAGTTCCGGGAGAAGTTGCTATCCAGCTGGTTCGTGGCTTTATGTACATGTTTATGTACATACATACATACATACATACATACATATGTACGCGCACATGCATATGCAAATATTAAATAACCAGTGAATCTATGTACATATGTAAAAGAACGATATAGTGCTTTCTATTCTTTATAAATTCAAATTGAGAAAAGTCAAACTTACAAACATACATACATATGTACATATGAACACATGTATGCACATAGATACGTAATAACAGTGGGAAAAAGGAGAGAGAGGAGCGGTAAGGGGCCAGCAATGTTTGCAACAAAAACTGCTTCGACGACAGCACTGCTTGCTGGAGGCATAACCAAAAGGAGCACCCCGCCTCGCGCAACTCCCCTCCACTCCACAGCTAGTGCCTACGCTGCCAGAGTGTTCGCTCTATAAAAAGTAAATGTAGATGTGCTCAAAAATTGTTTTGCGCATTTTGGGCTGTGGGATGGCTTGTCGGATGGCTTTGAGCGGAGACAACTTCTCTACTCTACTTTCTGCCTGAGCAAATGTTCTGTTCCGTTCCGTTCTGTTCTGTTCTGTTCTTGGTGCTGCTGACATTGTTGTTGTTGTGCGTTTGCTCAGAGCCCGACGCGGACACACACACACGCACACACACACAGAAAATCATCATCAATTACTTAGTACCCCCTCCCGCCACCCCTCTCCCACGCAGGGCAAAAAAAGGAGAAAAACCACGTAGTATGCTATCTGCTGCGCCTATCAAAGCTTTTTGTTGCTCGGGCGGGCTCTCTTTTGGCTCGATGTATGCGTACCAGCTCACACACACCCACACATGCATACATATTAGAAAACACACACAAAACAATCCGCCTAGGAGCACTGCTCCGCTCTGCTGTTGTGTTGTGGCGCTGATACTGTACTATTTTAATTTATTAGCCTGTACATACATATGTACACATGATATAGTACATATGTACAGATCTGTATGTACATAGATTAATGTGTGAAAGTTGTGTGAAAGTTGTGCGAAACTTGGTCGGCGGCTATTGATACTCCTGATACCTGACAGGAATCAATGTTCTTTACGCTGCGATCATCATTCAGGGTTGTTTTTGTTTGACATTTGATACAGACATACATACACATACATATGTCTGTTCATATGGATCGCCTTTGTAGCGATCATTTAAAAATGAGTCATTTCATTCATGTGTCACGAAATGCACATTTCCGTGCTGATATTTAGCGTGCAGGATCCTTTTCGAGACACCACCATCGTCTATCTTTAGGCGTTCTTTGTGCTTTACGATCTGTTCACACCAGATGTTTATCCGCACCGGAAATGGGATAATGTATGATGTACATATGTACATATACTATGTGGGTGTATAGTTATGAATAAACTCAATCAGGAGTGGCATCCATATGGAGTGCATCCATATCTGACAGAATTGGTAACGTAACGCCGCGGATCTAATGCCCAATACTTCATATATCACGCCAGAAAATGTTAGACAGACGGTCCAGACAGATATGCAATTCGCAGAGTTTTGCAATTTTGTGGCTCAACCGCGAAAACCGCTTCTGTTTTTTAGAACCGCTCATTCGATTATTGCCATCTTTTTTGGTGAACGGAAAGGCCCATATTGCATAATTTGGTTTCGAAAACTTTTCAGTGGCATTTATCGACATTTCCGCTACATACAATATAGAGTACGATTCAGCGGGGAAGAACAGCGTTGTTAAGTGTTCCTCGGCTTTAAGGGTAAATCCAGCTTGAACCAGGTTTAGGATGTGCCGTAAAGGCCGATGGATGGGTAGGGGAACCCCCTCAATCCGTAATGTTGGATCGAAAAGCAGTCGCAAGAAGTTACTCTTCGGTTACCGCGGTTATCGGCGCGATGGAAACCCATGGAAATTGTTGAATTTCCAATGGGAATACAAGTAGCAAGAACATCGCTCGTAGCCCCTCAACGGGGTGGCCTATCGAATGCAATTGCTAATAATATCGACGGCCAGCCTTTGCTGCATTCATTCTTTGCACTTTGTTTGTTCATGTTTGCCATTGAACACTTAGCATCCCCGGGGATCAAAGGCCAATTATGATGTATGTTTATGCGCAGATGCACATACATACATTTATGACTGGCAGCGTAGTCGCGTTGTTCAATTACCTCCTTCAGCCTTCCCCCCTTCGCTCCACGCTCCACGCTCCACGCTCGTTCCTACCATCCATTCACATCCCCTCCACATCCATTCCACCCCCGCCCACCTTCTTCGGCCAAACACCCTACCATTCCCTACTTACCATTCGGCATCGACATCGGCATCGGCATCGGCATCGCGGTGTGTGTTGTTTATCTTTGTTTTCCTTTGTATGCACACGAAATGTTTTTATTCAGCTTTTCTTTAAATGTGTATGGGTAGTCTGCATGTATGCAAATGTGTGAATGGGTGAATGTGTGTGTGTGTGTGTGTGTGTGTGTGTGCGTGCTAGTGTAAGTGCGGCCATAAGTTCTGTAGGGTTCTGTTCTGTTCTGTTCCGTTCCGTTCTATTCTCCTCTCTTGTATAGTCTTTGGTATTAAATTGGCCTGGCCGGCTGGCTGGCTTTTTGTATTTATTTATTTATTTGTATACCCTTGCAGGCAGGGCGGTGCAGAGCAGAGCAGAGCAGGGCAGGGCAGGGCAGGGCAGGGGCCTTAATGGTTTTGTTTCGGTCGCTGGAAAAACCTCCAAAAACCACCAGAAAAACTACATACGAGTACTTTTTGAAAACGAGATTTCATTTGAAAAGAGACGCCAGGGGAAGGAGTGGAGTCGAGTATAGTGGCATTTTGAAAGGCTAGAACATCTGCAGAACATCTAGAACATCTAGAACATATGTACATATGTATGTACATATATCACGTATACGTATAGCCTTTGGCACTAGGAGACCTACGAGACATTGCTTACCCAACACACAATTTCGTGTATGGGGTTTTTGATCTTTTTTAAACCATTAACCGCTGTTTGGGCAGCGGGGTATCCTGCAGTCGAGACATTTCTTTTGCACTCCCAACACACACACTGACGTTTGCACGACTGCAAATACATACATGCCTATATATGTACATACATACGTGTACGTTATAGCATTTACGGCGTAATTACTCACTCACCCACCGCATGAATCGAGACGGTCGGACGAACCGAACGAATTTACATATCTACACACATACATGTGTACCTCTGGGTGTGTGTATTTATTATTAAGTTGATGAAAGTTGATTCGGAATCTTCTTACCATACGCTGTCTAATATTTGAACTCTTTGAACTGTTCGCCCTTTAAGCAAGTTTCTTGTTTCTGCATCTTGACAAACGGCCTGCTCGTCGATTAACGTGGGCTAAAGGACATGGGATATGGGATATAGTAAGCTGTAGATGTAGACTGTGTGACAGGATATCCAATGTCCTGAATTCCTGAAGCTAGCCAAACCAAGTATTTGAATATAGCCACCCCACCACTGCACACAACAAATTGTACCCAAATCTTTTTCAAGTGACTTTTTATAAGTCACTATATATCAGCAGATTTGTAGCTCCGCAAACGATCGCCAAATGAAGTCCACCAACACAATGCATCATGCATCAGGTGCCATCTATCATGTTTTGAGTGCTGGTAAACGACTGTGAGACACTATGATAATCGCTTCAGAACCTGTCGATATTGTCTTCGAAGCACCGCAGGATATCTGTAGCTAAATTGATGATGTATTATTGTTATGTCAGCTATCAAAATAGGCCAACAGCAATGCATCATGCATCATGCATCATGCATTCCAACGCCTGAACTTCTGCACCAATCAAGTGCGTTAGCCAGCGAGCAATCCATCACGTATCCCTGATCAAGTTCAAGGGCCGTAAACGCGCCCATTGAGCGCCCAGCTTGTGGCCCTGAAAGTTAGGCTTTCGATCACTCGTTACTTAGTCACCTATCGATCGTTTGCAGGTCCATTCACGTTAGTCCACGAGATTCTACTCGCTGCTTGTTATTTGTTCGCGAGACTTCAGTCATCGCTCTCGGTTTTGTCTCAGGAAATATGTATGTACGTACAACGTATATACATATGTAAAAGTTATTTTGTACATACTCGTTTGTATGTGTATGTTCAGCCTCCGTCTAGAGTTTATTTATTTATTTGCATTCGCTTGGCGCTTATTCTCTTGGTATCTGGGAAAAGTGCGATTATTTATTTTTCGAAACTTAATAATTTCGACAGGGTACACTCACACACACACACACACACACACATGTACATCGGTATGTACACACACGGAGAAGCGCGAAGCAAATGCAATACCGAAAATTGGATCTAGGAAGGAGCCACAGCCACAGCCAGAAGTCCGATTTGTAATTCGTTGGCCAGTCTCAGAAGAGACACTAGCCTATGCCCATACACATGCACACATACATATATACTGTACATACTGTATATACTGTATATACTGCATGTGCTTGGTTGTATAATACTTTCTTCTGCTGGCGAGTACATGGCATGTACATTTTCCCATGTAAACGGCGCTGTTTTCGGTTGCCTTGGAACGGAGTGGAAGGTGGGGAAGGACTTAGCCCCCTCGGAGGGCTTAGACAATGGGGAATCGCAGGGTAATTCGTTAACAAAGCCCCGCTGCTTGGGGGAAAGCTGCACAGCAAACACAAGAGGTACGGGAGGCACAAGAGCACAGCGCGTAATCGCATCAGCTGCGCCGCGATGCATTCCATTGCACTGCATTGCTCGGCAATCAATATCAATTTAAAGATAAGCTCCTGCGAATGCGAAGGTTCAAAAGCCTCTCAGCCCTTGTGTATGGCATGCGTGTAAGCTGCAGGCACTGGAAGAGCTAAATGCATCTTCAAAGTCTGTTTCTTCTAACGAGTACTCCTCGAGGACGAGCGTATGTCCTCCGCTCGGTGCACCCGCACTTAGCCCTGTACTCAGCCCTGTACGTACTCGTAGCGATAATCTCCATCCATCTTCTAGTGCCCCTGCCTGCGTTCATATGTACCTGCAGTAGGTACACAGTGGAACACAGTGCTCTCATGCTCTGATAAATATATACTTGTGGGTAGATATGCGGATCTGAAGTTTAGGATTAGACATTTTTACTTTAGTTTGATTATCCGACGCATGCTTTCGCCCCTTGTTGCAAGACTTCGCTCGAGGGACCAAAAGGGTTTTCTACGGCGGGGTTTCAGCTCTCTGCTGCCTCCCTACAAATACACAGTCTTTGGCGACGCTCAACGCAGGTCGAGACTGGCGACTGGAGACCCTTCTGGGCCGGCTAGGTCGGAAGATTGCAAAAAGATATGCATGGCTTGTGCATGATTCATTTGGTTTAGCTCCTCTGAGGCTAGTCATAGCCCTATGTTTCGAGAAGGCACCAGCATACCGAAGGATCATTGAATGAAGTGAATCTCGCTCCTTGAACACCCTTCCCTTGTGGAAGGTGGAACGGAGAACTCTGTGACGAGCAAAGAGGTGAGGAGCGGGGAGTGGGTATACACTTGTGTGGCGCACTGTCCACCTGATGTTGTTTCAGATGTTTCTTCAGCAGTGTGCTGCGAATTGGGGCAAGCAGCTGCCTCTCAGCTTCCTCGGTAAATACTCGTGGCAGTAAAACTTGAAACTCGATTTCGAGCTCTAATAATTCGCGTTAGCTTTCTAACTTCATGTCCTGTCAGATGCTGGGAGCCTCGCGAACTTATTTTTGGATACTTGTTCGTTCCTCCCGCCTTGTGCTAACTCTCGCACGCCGCCATTCCCTTCCTTCCGCACTTTTGCCCACCACCTGTCTCCCTCTGCCTCTCCCTCTCCTTCTCTCTCGCTCTCGCTCTCGCTCAAAAGAGAGAGGCTTTTAAATGTGACTTTTGTCATGCATTTGTCGCCGGTGCTGGCTGTGTGCTGCCCTTGTCGTCGTCGTCGTCGTCGTCGTCGTCACTGGGCCGGAAGTTGGTTTCAAACTGTTGGCAAATGAGTTTCCGTTTGCGAGGGAGGTTTCCTGCCCAGCCCCCTGCCCTGCCCAGCCCTGGCCTGCCCAGCCCTGTCCTCGTTATTATTGTTGTTGTTGTTGTTGTTGACTTGCTGGCCTGCCTCTGGGTTTTTTGTTCATTTGCCGCTACACACTTGCACAGTTAGCAGAAGTTTATTAATTTGCTTCGCCTTGGGTTTGTTTTGTTTCTATTTCGTATAAATGGCCAGCGCGTATGTTTCGCATTTGTGTGTCAGTTTGTGTTTAAGGGAGCTCCCTAGATCTGTGTGTGTGTGTGTGTGTGTGTGGGTGTGTGTGGGTGCCTCTCTTTTCAAAAAGAGAGTGGAGGGGTATACTGGATATGTGCCGAAAGTGGATGCATGTGACACCGAGGATATATCTATATATATCCTTGATCGGCCCCAGCCACGCGCCTGCCCATTCTCCCGCTCTCTCTCTCCCTCACACACGCTCTTCTCCGTGCAAAGACTGTAGGCAGCGGGTCGCTAAAACAGATCTGAAGCCCCGCACGCGCCCTCTGAGAAGAGCTTTGCCTAAACTCTGGGAAAACTCACTCCCATGGCCGGCAATCTGTGCGTTTGCGCAGTGATGAATTAATTCACTTTGTTGGTTTTCCCTGGACAGAGGCGCAGGGACAGCCAGGCAGCCAGGCAGCCAGACAGCCAGGAAGCCAGGAGGAACTGCCACAATACTGCCTGATGCCAGGCTCTAGTCATATTTATGGGCGCCCTTTACGTACCCCTTTAGCCCAGTTGTGCCCCAGATGTAGATGCATTAAAGTCGCTGTCGCGGATGCCCGCCCCGACAAGGAACACATAAATGATTGATTGCCTGATTGATTGAGTCATTCAATTATAAACCAGGCCAATTCAGGTCATCTTCCGTTCCCGTGCCCGTGCCCGCTCCCGTGCCCCTCTCCGTTGCCTCCGACTTCTTTTATCGTGTCCGACGATATTTTAGATTACGCGACCTCGACTCCTTGCAGCGTCAGTGCCCTCCCCACACACACACACACACACACACACACACACACGCATTTGTCAGTCTATATATGTACTTTTGTACACACAACCATGACGTCGGTTCAGCTTACATTCAATTTGCATTCATAAATGGATCTTTCATGTCACTCGATGCTGCCGTGGGTGTCGCAGCGTTTGCTGCATTTTCCTGTTTTCAAAATTTGATTAACGAGAATTCCATGACGAGTGTCAGGGCATGCCAGGCCATGCCAGGGGGCAGCATGTTCCGTGCAATGGGCATGGCGTATTGGGACCCACATAAAAGGTCTAGGAAAAATAGCAGAAAAGACAGTACCATAAAGATAGAAATATCGTAGGACATTTGAGAGATTTTCGAAAATTTCTCCATTGGATATCCGATTAAAAAGCGTGCGTTTGCGGGAGATACGGTAGTAGCTGTTTTTACGTATACGTATTACGTATACGTGTTTTCGAACCGATAATTCTTGTTGGCTTTTCACTGGATTTTGTGCTGTGCGGAGCTCCGAGGGTACCCAATGCGCTGAAGGATGTGCTAGACAGAGTTTTGTGGAGCAGCTTGCGCCTTCGGTCGGGTTTGCTGGCCGCCTCCTATTCAGTCGGACCGTTAAGGTGTCCGATAGCGAAACTTGCTTTTCTCAAGGGCTCATGCGAGAGGAAAGACCTTTTCGGGTTTGCGAAAAGATGGAGAAGGAGAGACTACTGGCAAGTCAGTTCCTTCTTACGGCAGGATCTTCCGAATCTTCTACGAATACAGCTGATGCAATAATCAAAGCAATCCTGTGTTTTCGCGCCAAGTTTATCTGGGGGTCAGCTCCATCTTAACCCAAAGTCGAGCACCCGGCCCTCGGTCGCTCACAAATGCTGCTCACAAATTAAAGAGCCGACTGCCAGCCCCTGGCACAACAGCGGAGCAGGCGACTCGACTGGGTTGGAACGGCGGGGCCTCGCCCGGGGAGGGGGCAAGCAGAGGTCGATGGGTCGATGTGGGGAAAGTGCGTGTGCTAATGTCAAAATGGTTGTATGTACACGGACACGGACCCGGACACGCACACGGACACGCACACGGACACGCACACAGACACCCACACGCACAAACAAACAAGTAAACACGCACACAAGCAGCGAAAAAGAGAAAAAGAAACTTGCAGGCAGCCGCCGCCCCCGTGTTTCGTCATTTAATTCCCACTGGGAGCAGCCTGCCACCCATCCAGCCAGTCTGCCACCCATCCTGCCAGCCAGCACTGCAGTGCAGTGCAGTCCTTGCATGGGTTTGAGCCTCTCCTCTCCGACAGATTGCAGCTGCCAGCTATGATCCGTTGATAAAAATAAATAACATAACGTACATGCGTCTCGCTTTGCGTCATTTGCGACGTCAGGAGCCAACAGGAGCTCCTGGGACTGGTCCTGGGACTGGTCCTGGGTTTGGTCCTGGGCTTGGTCGTGGGTCTGGTGGTGTGGATTTGCCGTCTCCAGTGACTCCAGTGATGGGTTCTATTTTTAAACAATCATCGGTTTTGTTTTCGTTGTATCGGTGCACTGCAAACGTGCAACATACGCACATACATACGCACATACATACGCACATACATACGCACATACATACGCACATACATATGTACATGTGTTCAAGTAATTAAAAGTATTTTATGGTACTCGTGGAAATACATGTGCGCACATCCGTATGCTGGAGATTCCCAGAATAACAAAAAAAATAAAAAAATAAATGGAAAAATCAGGACAGCAACTACGCAGCAGTCTAAAGTCCCGTTCGTTACTTCCTGAGAGTGAGAGGTGGAGAGGGAGACGGGAGACGGGAGACGGGGAGAGGGAGAGGGAGAGGGAGAGTGCCAGGGAGAGTCGTCTCCAGGCCCTCCCTCGGCTCTGGGGAGCTCTCCAGCCTCGGCTTCGGAGCTTCTCGAGTTGTCGGCTCTCTTCAGGTCGAGTCGAACCGCGTCATGGGGTGGCGCATCGGCGCACTTGCATGTACATGTATGTATGTGTATGTGTGTAAGCCGGCTGTCGCAATATACATGTACATGTGTGTGTGTGTGTGTGTGTGTGATTGTATGCAAATTTTCATTTTTATCGCTTGACCCGAATAATTGAAAAACAGGCTAAAAATAGAGAGATTTCTCGGTATCAGACGGCATCAACAGAATAAACAAAGGGACAGCTGATTACAGCTTACAGAAATAGTATACTCTGCAAATATGAGAGAGAGCGACCCACTGGGGCACCGGAGCCATCAATCGATCCCTCTTTGTGGGCTACATGTACCTCATCCCCGGGGAGTGGAGTGGAATGGAAGGGAAATGTGGGGGGCAGCTCCCTGCACCCCTCCCTTCAACACAGATCACGACGCACCACTTCAAGGTGCTGATCGTCGAGCCACAGGTCCATGTCCCGGTGGATTTGGCCTGTAACAAGAGTATTCTAGTAGTTTAGCACAGCACTTGGGTAGATGTCAGCTGCAATGCTGCTTTAAATAATATGTAAGCGTTTTGTTGTCCTTGCAGGTCTTCAGCTGCACACGCCGCCCCCTGCTCCAGAGGCGCCTGGCAGAGGCAAGTGGCACCTGGCGAGAGGAGGCCCTAGGAGACATCATCGAGCACCAGCCGCCGTCACGCGGAGGCCATGGAAACGTACTATGGATGAATGGAGGCCCACTGAACATTTCTGAGGAGGGGAGCAGGAGCAGGAACCGAAACCGCAACCGAAAGGAACCGAAAGGAACCGGATTCCCAATCGATTCAGAGCAATCTGAATTCTGAAGTCTGAGATCTGAGGTCTGAAAGGAAGGATATTTTACGGAGCGCCGCGACAGTGTAGGGGCTTCGCTAGTGCTAGTGCGTGCCACTTGGTGGCAAGGGGGCGTGGAACCACCGCATCTGATCGAATCATGAAGCATTGTAAGAAAAAGTCCACCCCTTGCCGTCACCGAGTCCGCATGGAATGGAATCCTTAGACTTTTCTCTGTTCTTCTCTGGTTCTCTGCTTCACAGCAAGTGTTTCCATACACAAGGACATGATGGAATTCGGCTAACTGCAGCAGAAGCACTGCAGCAACTGTGATCCAGCTCGAGGATTACGCAGCAATCAAAATTTAAGAGCGCAACCGAACGCACAACCGCAGAAAGCAATCCGCAATTCAAGTATTCCAATAGCAGTATCAAAAGCGTAGTTAGAGTAGCGCCCAGTAGCCATCATCATCAGACCAGCACCTCAGACGCAGCGACGGCGGCTGCGATACCGAGACCCTAGCGGGTGACGCGGCCATGGAACCTCCCGGTGGGGTGCCGCCCGACAAGGACCGACAGCTAGTGCTCAGAAACTCAGCCCAGTCGGCTCCCGGTTCCGTTCCCATTGTCGTCGCCGCCCCGAATGCCGGACACGGAACAACGTCGGCGGCTGCGAACCCTCAGGAGCAGTCCAGCAGTCAATCCACGCACTTGCCACAGTCCATTAAGCCGACGACACTGAGCCTGCAACCACATGGAGGCGTGCATGCCACGGCCACGGCCACGGCCGCGCAGCTATCTCCATCGGCCGCCGCGAACAACAATGCGGCGGCAACTGCCGCAACGGCTACGAGCAGCGGGAGCGGGAACGCCAACAGCGGCAATAGTCCTGCGCTGGCGTCCACCGCCACGGCCATATCCGCCACAACGCAGGCAGCGACCGCATTTAGCGGCAGTTCCGTGGGCCACCATCACTTGCAGCACCACCAGCATCCGCACGCCCATTCACAGCCCGCAACGCACCAACAACAACTGCTGCATGCACTACCCCATCAGCAGTCCCAGGCGGCGGCACCAGCCACGGCGCCAGCAGCGGCACCAGCAACGGCAACGGCAACGGCAACGGCGTCACACCACCACCATCACAGCTCCATCTCCGGGCCTGGTGGTTCGGGCAGTGGAGGACTGCTTGCAGGTGCGGGCAGTGGTTCCGGAGGTGGCAACCCACAGCAAACCATTGAGAAGCTCTCCCGACCAATGGCCTTCGACAAGGTGGGTAGAGGGATCCCAATACCGATATAGAGATAGACAAAGACATAGACATAGACATATATACAGATGTACGCAGATACTTATTTTTGTATACTTTTATGGCAGATGGAGGTGCTGGTGCGCGAGATGCAGGATCAAGAACATGGTGTACCCGTGCGACAACAGAAAATGTTCCTTACATCTATACCATACGCGTTTATGGGTAAGCATTAGGGGTAGCATCATCATCCACAGCCCATTAATCGTTAATTACTTACAGGATACGATCTGATCGAATGGCTTATGGACCGATTGCAAATTGAGGAATCGGAGGCCCTGAACATTGCCAACCAGCTGTGTCTGCACGGGTACTTCTTTCCGGTGAACGACTCAAAGACGCTGACCGTGAAGGACGACTCATCGCTGTACCGCTTCCAGACCCCCTATTACTGGCCGTGGCAGCACAAGGCCCCGGATAACGTGGAGTATGCCATATATTTGGCCAAGCGATCGCTACGCAATAAACAGCGCCATGCGCTCGAAGACTACGAGGCCGAGGCCTTGTCCTCACTGCATAAGAATCTGAAGGGCAAATGGGACTTTATATCGATGCAGGCCGAGGAGCAGGTGCGCTTGGCCAAGGAGCGCAAGAAGGGGGACAAGATTGTTGGAGACTCGCAGGAGCGGGCCTACTGGCGCGTACACCGTCCACCCCCCGGCCAGTTCACGCCCCTGGAGCCCTGTCCAGTGCCGTCGCGCGACCGCCAGGGCTTCAAACCCAACAAGAAAAAGACTGTCGACGATGTACAGCGAGAGGTCGACTACTTGAGCAAGTCCCTGAACCGAACGCGAATGAAGATGTCGCAGGCCTGCGAGTCACTGGTCTGCTACTCGGAGACCTTCAGTGAATACGACTTCTTTCTGCAGCCGGCGCTGCCCTCGAACCCCTGGGTCACCGAGGACATTACCTTTTGGCAGCTGAACAACACCTTCGTGGACATTCCCACTGAGAAACGAGTGAAGCGGTGGGCCATTTCCATCGAGGAGCTGGTCTCGGATCCGACGGGTCTGCAGGAGTTCACGACCTTCCTCGAGAAGGAGTACTCGCACGAGAACATTCGTTTCTGGATTGCTGTCAACCGCTTGCGTCGATCCGCCCACTCCCAGGTGGCACGGAAGGTCAACGAGATCTACGAGTGAGTGCATCATTTCCCTGTAATTGCAATCATTAATTGATTGGTTGCCATTTTGCAGGGAATTTCTGAAGCCTGGAGCACCCTGCGAGATAAACATCGATGGAAAAACGATGGAAAGTGTGCTTCGCGGTCTCAAGAACCCATCGCGGTTCACCTTCGACTCGGCCTCAGAGCACATTTACATGTTGCTACTGAAAAAGGACTGCTACCCTCGCTTTATACGATCGGAGCACTACAAGCGTTTGCTGGACACTGGCATCCAGCCCTCGTACAAGAAGCGTTTCTTCAATTTCGGAGGCGTCAGCGGAGCCAAGAAGAAGATGACAGCTGCCCTGTCCAGTCAGCCGAACCTGGGGGATGCGGGGGGGTCGAAGGGGTCCAGCAGTGCGGCAGGCGGCACGGGCTCCATGATGCAGGCACCGCCACCCGGCAGCCTGGCACGGCGTCGTGGCAGCGACCGCAGTCTGACGGGCTCAGCGCATGAGCTGGCCGTGATTGGGGTGAACAAGGAGGCAGGTTCCAAGGTACCGCACTCCCATTCCCAGAGCAATCTCAGCGAGATTCCTTTTAGGTAAGCTGGCTTCTGAGGACGCTCGAGAGAGAGTGTGCGAGAGAGTGAGAGAAAGGCTGTGTGCATCTTACATTTATCAATTGATTTATTTATCACTTAATCATTTAATTTGCTTCGATTCTGAACAACCAAGCAAACGCCTAGGCTAGCAGCATTTTTTTCTGGTTCTGTTCTTGTTTTTAAGTCGTTATCAAGCGCGAAGCATTGCGTTTTAATATACATATAGATATATTGTAGTACATAACGTACATATTTACATATTTATCATTGATTTACTTATTTATTTATTGTATTTTCACGGTTCACGGTTCACCGTTCACGACTCACGATGCGTTCGACCCTTATGAACATTCCTCAAAATTCAACAACAACATTCGAACCGAAACATGCAATCCATTTGAACAATTGATAACCGAACAATACCGAAATACGATTATTACTGTGTAATGTGTTACTAAATATATCATACAATATGTCATACATCACACACGCACCACTGCAGTAGCGATTCTATTTATCGAGGCGATATGCCGCAGCCCCATCGCCACACGGCGATCATGGATGTTGGGATCTATGCTGCCTACGGCGGGAATCGCGAAAGTAGTTTACAGGCACTCCCGTAAGACATACATAATTTCTTTTTGATTGGGTTGATTATTCAAATCGCATTATATCACTTGTAACAAACCAACAACGAATTGTTCAAACCTATTTTCCTGTTATCCACAATATGCTAGTGTTTCTCCTCTCCTGTTGTATTGTCGTTCGATCTGCTGTGACCCCTGAACCCCCAACCCAGACCTGACCCAACCCGTTCTTCCATTTGTAATGTTAAATTTTTGTTTGTCGCTCTCTCCCCTTCTACCCCCACACGCGAATACGAATATAATACATACATTAATCAGCTCATTAATGCTCCGGTTATCGCGAATCGCAAATCGCAAAAAGTGCGTGCTCCGGTCCTTGGCAAATCGTAAGACTCTCACGATTGAAAAACCGGTTGCCTATTCAACTAAAATATTTCAATTTGCAAGAGAAAAACACAATCTGCTAATCACCTAATGCACTGTCTTTAGTGATAGCTGGAGCACACAGATCTCATTGGCGTGGCTGAGTATGGTACGATCTCCAACTGGTTGTGCTCCATTATGGGGACTAGATTCATTTGCACCAAATTAAGGGCACTCTTAGAAGCGCTTGGGACGCTTCTTCAGAACTTTCAGAAATAGATATGCGCATCATAGATCTAGGTAGAAAATCTAGAAAACCTCCTATGGTAAATCGTGATCTAATTTTACTTTGTAGCCAGAGCGTAACCGTTTACCGAATGGCAGTAGTCCAAATGAGCCAAGGGTGCTTTCTCACCACAAATTACTTGTCGGTGAAACTAAATTACAGTCCGTACCAAGGTTGGGTCACCGTCCCACGGACAGCTCACGAGTATCTGTAGAAACTGATGTTCTTTTCGCAACCAATGGGGGAGTAGGCGACTCTTCCCTTCCGGCACATGTGATTTATGTAAACCCAAGCCCAACTTTAGTTAATGCTTCGCCCTAAACTGTTTACCATTTATGTTCCTTCCCGAAGGAATCAATATCCCGTCGGACCGCTGTGTTACCCGTGTCTTTTTCCTGGACTGTTTCCAAATACATACATACTCGTACACAAAGTTGCCCATTGGACCAAAACACCCCAGACGAGAGTAACGCGAAGCTCAAACTTGTGAATCCATCGAAAACAGATCCGCAAACGATCGGAAAATGTTTTGTTTTCGATAGCTCGATAGCTGGCTTTTGCGAGCCTTGTTGGGACATCTTTTACGAACCGACTTTATGCTTTAAGCCAGCAAGGTTTAGTAATAAAAGTGAATGAATTCGTTCATTTCCGAATACTTTCGGCGAGTCTTCGTCTTCGGTCATCGTTTCCGGTTGTCTCTTGCCGGCTGTGCCGCGTTTCCAGCGATTGTTTCGTGTTTTGGTCCTTTGGGTGGCGGCATACTATTGTTTATTTGAATGCTCGAATGTTTGCTATATTGTTACATGTTGTTTGTGCATTCCGATGTGCATTCGTTTCTGATCTGGTTCTGGTTCTGATTCTGAGTTTCTCTTGTGCGCTTCCTTCCTTCCTCCCAATGTGTATATTTTCTGTTGTTGTATACATACACACATCACACACATCACATACATATGTATATAGTACATATACATAAACTATTAATGTCACACGCACACACACACACACACACACACACACACACACACACACAAGTATCGTATCCGGTTGTACCCACAGTCTACTGTCTACTGTCTAAAGTCTACTGTCTAATGTCTAATGTCTAATGTCTACCGTATAATTGTCTAAAGAAGCTTCCAATTCCAGAAAGAGCCATAACATTTTGCTATCTTCTCCGTACAGAGAAAACCCAAAGACGAAGTCCACCGGTCTCGACACGTTGGAGTCCACCACAGCATTAGCTGGCAACAGTAGCGCCGTTTGTCCGTGGGACGAGCCGGTGGCCATACTTCCAGCAGCTCAGGTGAAGCTCTCTGTGTGTCCCTGGGAGCAGGATACTGTGACAGATCCAGCGCCGGCGCTGGCAACGGCAACGGCACCGGCACCGGCGTCAGCTCCGGTTGCGGTACTGTCCAAGCAGACGGCTGTCACCGTACAGCCACTACGATTGACAAGGTAGGTAGATGAACGAATTACTCAATTATAAATATAATTATCTATATCTCTCTGTATATAGCACTTCGTCGGACAGCAGTGATGTGGCTGATCGCCTGCAACGAAATCTAGGCATTCGACACCAAAACACCGTCGACAGTGGAGAAACGAGCATCAAACGTCTGACTCCCAACTTTACGGAACAGCGTCGGGCATCCGTGTCCTTCACTCCAAGGTGAGGGAAGCAGTTGTCTTGTGTCCTTTTATGTTTTACGTTAAGTTGTATTTTTATCAGCCGCAGCTCCGACTACCAGTTTGGACGCACTGCCGGTGCATGTCCGTCTACCACATCCACCACGCCCACCGTAGGAACCCAAAGCGCAGGTGTCGCCAGCAGTAATCTCACGCCACTGCAGGCTAGGAGTGCCGTCTTTGGAGGTGCCAGTGGCAGCAGCAGCTTCGTTGCAGTTGCAGCTGCCGCCAAGGATCAACAGCCACTGACTGGCTCGGATGTGGAAACCGAAGTGGAGGAAGAACTAAACAAGCTGTCACAAGAGTCGTCGACATCGGAGTTGCCTGTGCTTGTGACTCCCACACCCACACAGACCCCGCCGCTCATAACAAAGGTCACGCCACCGCCCGAGGAGTACCTCCCCATCCAAGCAGATTCGATGGCAAATTGCTTGCAACAGCAGCAACTCGTTGATAGCTGCGTGACACACGGGAAAGACGTGACTGTGGTAAAAGAGATACAGATCGAACTGATCGAGTCGCGTGCCTACGAAAAAGATCTGGCCGCCACGACGCCCACCATTAAGGTTCTGGAGCTAGTTGCAACTACTCCAGGCTCCTATATCCGCTTACCCTCGGGCCAGAGTCAAGAAGCACTAACAACAACCACCGAGGATGCCGCATTGGCCGACGACGACGAAACGGAGCAAGCAGCCCCAGCCCAGGCGCAGGTACCCCTGTCCGAAGTGTCAGAGGCTTTACAAGATGAGCTTTCACCCACCACCGATGAGTACCAAGAAGGACTGCAGTTTGGCGGCAACGACACCAAGGACGTGGTCGATGACTTTGACAGCATAGATAGCGACATACAGCTCGGCTACATACCGCCTGCTCCCACCCCTGCTCCATCCATGGCGCCCCTGGCTGAGTTGGACGTAGACACGATGGTGGACGATGATCCAGCGGACGAGCCTGCCAGCAGTACAGAGCGTCCGGCAGTGGCAGTGGCAGTGGCAGTGGCAGCAGCGGTAGCTCCCACGGCAACAGCAACAGCAACTCCGACATCCAGCAATGACGAGGCACGCAAGCGCCGCAAGAAACGAAACTCTGATGGCAAAAAGCACAGCTCGCAGGAGGACAAGGATAAGGATGGTGGAAAAGATGGAAGCGGAAGTGGCGGCGGCGGCGTCGTCGATCCGGAACACAATGCGGTGTGCCCCTGGGAAGACGAGTTAGTATACAATGCAATGAGTTTCTCCCCTTACCCCCACCCTGGTTAACGCGCTATCAATGTATGTATGTACCTCCAATAATCCACAGGAACGTGAGCACTAGCGATGGAACCTTCGTGAAGACATATGCCACATTGGGCTACTTATGAATAAAACCAAATCTGTTCAAGACGGTGGTCAACAAGTTGCTGAAAAGGAAGCCGCACAAGCAAAAGTAGGGCCTGGGATAGTGTTTTAGCTTACTAACTAACTTATACATAGTACATATATGTATACAATATGCATATATATGTATGTATGTATGTGTATTCTATATGTATGTACGTATTTGATTCATGAGTGTGTGTACATGTAATACGTAATTGTTAATTGCTTCGTGAGTTTAAGGTGCAGACAGTCACAGTTTCGTTGTTTATTGCAGAAACTTCTTCAACATACAGAAAACTGAAATGAGAAACGTCTATGAGCACGTACCAGATGTACTATATATATGTATGATCTTAGTGTATATGAAGGAACATACTCTTATTGTACAAAAATTACAAATTCTATACTATGTACTCTCTTAACAAATTAAAAATGATAAATGAAAAGCAACGTGATGGCAACAGAGAAACCGAAAGCATCTATAAATCTAGAAATATGTATTTAAAATCAAATAATCCTCCTCCAATCATAATTGGCATGTTTTGTGGTGATCAACTGGAAAACTGAAGAATAGACAACAAAAACGAGAGAGAATACCAATACAAGGATTGTAGACTCGGCAACAAAACAGATAGATCTGTAATTCATTCATGAACCTACAATGCAATATACACATAAATGGAGTTGGAATAACTGAATCCCTATGATTAATAAACAATTAACAAGCCCATTTGGGGATCTACAAAGAACAAATGGACATCCCGCATGTAACTCCCATGGAAATCGTAAGCATTGTTTGAGCGTAGTGCCTTTTGCGTAGAAGTATACACCGACCGTTTAATTTTTGGTTATCCATCAAGACCTTCGGCGTACAGACCGTCGTAGACATAGACAGTGAACTGAATTCAAACAATAAAATTATAGTTCGGCCTAATTGGCTGTCATCTATTTTGTGTGTCAATCGTTTGGTTGTTCAATAAGTTCAATAAGAGTTCAAAATTGCACAAGTTAATTCGTAAAATCGCATATATGTATATAAGTATGAACATACATATGTATTGTTTCATTTCACGTGTGCATGCAACACACTCACTCACGAGCCCCCAGGGTGCAGGGTGCAGTGCAACACAAGCAGCAAACCGCCCAATCACAACTTTTACCAATGCGTCTAGTAGGAGTATTAGGTGCTGGCTGTCCGCCCAAAACAAAAACAATCACAGTAAACGAGCTACGCTGCATAACATACACCGTGCACACCGTACTATGCCATATCTACAGTGAATCTTCAACATGTCGGACATTTCTTTCGCCAATACAAACACACACAAACCATGAATGTGTAGATCAATATAATCAAATAAATATGAAATCCTGGTTGTTCGCGGCTAATACCTTTATATAGATCGATCGAAACAGAAGAAAATCACAAGTAAACCTAAAGGGAAAAACTATTAAAATCTAAGTATATTTCTACTTTCATTTCGGTGTGCACTGTGCATTGTGCACTGTGCATTAGCTACTTTATGTATTTACTGTACTGTACTGTCGAAAACCGCTTGCTGGTAAACAATCTTTGTATAAAATATCTAATATCTGAGCTAATCTATGCGTGAATTTTCAAGTTACTTCAATTAAATTAAAACTAAAACACTCAAAACAACACTACAAAAACACTACAAAAACACTACAAAATGTGCTCTCGAAGAAACACAACACAGAGTTACATTCAGAAAAATAATTAGATAATAATGTTGCGTATTTGTTGGATTTTTTGGAATGAATGCAAATAAAAAACTATAAAAAGTTATGTATAGAAATAAATAAAATAAAGTAAAGGCAAAAGGTCTGTGCCGTGCGTACAAAAAAAAAGATGTGTACATGAAACCACCGTTAACTTTGCTTATGCGAGCCGAGCAATTAAAAAAAGTTAAAAAAGAAAAACCAAAACCAAAACAAAAACTAAAACTATAAAACGATCAAATTCTGCAGCAGCAATAGTTGGAATGTTGTTGGCGAATATACATAATCCGTGTACTAGTGAAAGCAGCTTCGTAGAACAACACCAAAAACACACGCAAAAGTTGTAGTCAGTGCGGAGGTAATATTGTATTGTTGTTGTTTTTTATGTATGTAATTGTACTTTTTTTTTGTAAAACGATTGTTGTAAGAAAAGAAAATTATGCCAAAAAGAAAACAAAATAAATAGTTAATTAAGGAGTTTACAAGCAACATTTAACAACAGATCAGAGCAGAGCAGAGCAGAAAAGAGCAGAACAGAAAAGATATGAATTACTTTAAACCACAAAAACAAAACAGAAACAGAAAAACCATAACAAAAAGTTCCGAAAGTTTTGAAATAGTCGATGGTACATACATATGTTTAGTATATGTATTTGTTTTAACTGCATATGTACTTATGGTATGCTTACATAAACCTACATAAAATCAAAATAAAACAACAAAAAAACAAAACGAATAACGAATAATAGTGTGCGGAGGCAGTCGAGACTTCACGACTTGAATATACCCGGTACTTGGTGAAAGTCAAGTAATAAATATCTTCGAGACCATCCGAAATTATCTGAAATTATCTGAAATTATCCGAAATTATCCGACTATCCAAATCTGTAGTAGCAAAAACATGACGACAAAAATCATAAAGCAACCGAAAAACGGACAAACGAACCAACAAATGAAATCTTTGAAGAGCTTAGAAGAGAAAAATTGCACTCCATCCTGGTACCGGGTATAAATGTTATTTAACAAAAACAAATGAAAGCAGCTCCTGGAGCAGCCACACAAAGCGCCATTTTGATAAGAAAAAAAAAAAACAAAAAACAAAACCTAAAAACTAAAAAAGAAAAAAAGAAACAGAAAACCCGATTTAATAAAGATACAGAATTACTGTGTACTAACACCAGAGGTGGGGGGTGATGTGATTGTCATTGCCCTGGGAAGGATTTACTTTAATTTCTGTGTAATTAGTGCTCATTTATCACTAATTAGTGGAGACAGGAATGTGAAAAACAATGTGCTTATAAGTTGCCAGAGCTTTTACTAGTAGAGACGCCATTTAAATTCTGATTCTGGGTTTAAAAATACGAAACAAAAAAACAAAACAAAAACAAAAAACAAAGAAACAGGAAAACTAAGAATAAAAATAAAAATAAAAAATAAATACCATTGTGAAGAGTGCAACCAAAGTGTTTGTTATTATTAATGATTCATGTCGTTCTATATATTGACAATGAATGGTAAAACACATACATACATATACATTATGTATATATATATATATATTTAATAATTGTTATAGCAAATTTAGTAAATATATTAAATTAAAAGAAAAGCAGAATAATTCATTGTTTGTCTATTTACTATGCCATTGAGAATATATATTGTACGAGTATGTGTAAGCATAAGTTTAAATCCAAATAAACCTATACATAAAAATGAAATTATACAATACATGAGTACATATTTATGTATACATACTACATATGATGCATACATATATATACATACATATATGTATACATATACATACATTATTTCAAATGTTTAAAACATGGATGGAATATTTTGAGAACAAAACTAAACCAATGACAAAGAATCTGCAACACCTGCAAACATTAGTCGGTAAACCACAAATCAAATGTAAAACAAATTCATGTAGACTGTATTGGAAAGGAAAGGGAAAACTCGAAAGGGGTAGAGCGATAAACGAAATTTGATTGGTTTGACTGGGACTGGGTTTGGGATTGGGATTGAGATGGATTGGATTGGATTGAATGATATCAACACTCCTCCATTTCGAAGGACTTGCTAACTCTCTCGTAAGAAAGATCGACCTAAGTGGTATTCAAGTTGAAAGGAAAATTATTTGCACAGTGCAGAAAAACGTGTTATAAAATTATTATATTATACATAAAATATATACATATATTACTGAAATATGCTGATGAAATTTAAGCCCGACAAAAATGTAAAAACCCAAAAACAAAAACGATTTAAATGAAGTACAATAAATATTCAAGTGAAGTAAAGGGCTTTCTGTTTTCCGGGATGTTTTCTAGATGCGATCCATTTCTGTCTGTTTCAGGTATTTTCAAAATCTGTTTAAAATCTTTAAGCACATACACAGGTACATATGTATGTATGTACGTACATGCAATGCACAAAGGATAAATACTTGTAACTGACTAAAAGAAGATACCCTGCAAGGCGGAAGCACAAGCCAAAGGCTCCAGCACAACGCACACACGTGTGGGTACAGCACAGCTTATTGTTCTTATTTTTATACCCCATACTCGAAGAGAATACGGGTATATTCGATTTTAACTGGAAGTGGAGCTGGAAGTGGATGTGTGTAACACCTAAGAAGGAACCATCGCCGACCCCGTAAAGTGTATACATATGTACGTATATTCTTGATCAGCATCAATAGCCGAGTGGGAGGGGAGCCGTACTGACCGTGTATCGGGTATATGTACATACATATGTACGTGTAGAGTCGCGGCCTCAGCTGCGGCTCACAGCGTTCCCCAGTGCAGTTGTGTGCCAGATAATTCAAAAGTAATGAGGCGTCGAAAGTGAAGAAAGAACGAACTCATGCTCAAAGCAACAGAAAAGGTACACCCATATGTACATACGAGTGTGTACATACATACGTACATGTATGCAGTTAAGTCGTCGCTTCTTTAAAATACATAAATACAATGTCCCGGAATGAGGACATCCGTGTTATACCCAACTACAGTACGTATAGTATGTAGCTTCCTACACATCTACTGCCTCCCACTTTGTTAGAAGTACGCAGAAGCAAAACGAAACGAAACAAGTTTTAAGTAGTCCTAGGTGCGATATGTGCGATATGCGGGATAGGAGGAATAGGTGGGATAGGTAGGAGGATATCTGCCATCTTTCGGGGTGAGTGTACTCGTACTCGTACTCGTAGGTGAGGCCAGCTAACAAAGGCCAGGAAGGGATTTGAAAGTCATATGAGCGAATTTTCATACGACACTCCCGCACCCCCACTCCCACACCCACTCCCATAGACAGAAGAAGGCGTTCTTTTGTCCTTTTGTCCTTCTGTCCGCCTGCCTGTCTGTCTGTATGAGCATCTTAGTCTCACCTTAGTAATAGTACGTATACGAGTAGATTCTGTTATACTGCCTAATTATTTAGATTCTAGGACACTTGAACATCCACAACAAATGAAATCCTGTGCAAGTGGTGGGGAGGGCGTTGATGAGAGGTACTCCTCTTCGTTTTCCCTACTTCCTAGCACTCGTACTCGGATGTGCGTCTTGCGAGACCCTTTTTAAAGTGTTTTTCCTCTGCGCTGCGTGTCAGTCAGGCATGACCACCGCGTCGCGTGATCACGTATCAATAGCCTATCAATTATCCAGCTATCCATCTATCTTTCAGCAACCCGCAGGCCCCATAACACCTTTTAACATCCAAAGCTCTGAGAAAACCCCTCTAAACTTAAAAAAAAAAACAACTTAAAAGGTTTTTAATTTAATTTCAGTTCATTTCACTTTATTGATGTGTGTGTGTTTAGATAAAGCGCTTACATTGGTAAGTATAGAAATTTATAGGTATAGGCATATAGGCATTAGTATAGGAATGGGTATAGGTATATGTATAGGTATAGGTATACGTGTGTATATATATTTCGCTAAAAATACTATTAAAATTCTAAAATATTTTTTACTACCGAGGAGACACCCTGCATTACATTCTGCTTACAATCTAGTGATCGTCTGGTCAAATCTGCGTCCGCAGTAGCTGTCAGAGAATCCGCTTGCGGGATGCGCTTCCGTTATTAGTCGATGCGGCGACGGCGGTGGTGGTTAGCTTATTCTGTAAGGGGGCAAGTGATGAGGACGATGTCACTGTAATTGCTGCTATCATATTTTCCATGACCCCTTCCCCGCCGCCGCCGCCACCGCCACCGCCACCGCCACCGCCACCGCCCCTGCTTGCAGCATCAGACAGAGACAGAGACAGAGTGCATGGGATGGTGCTGGTGGTACTGGTGGTGGTGTATGGCGGTGGAGATGGCTGACGGCAATGGCTATCGGTGGATTGGCGTTGGCTGCTCGGCAATGCCAGAGACCGGCAATGCCTTTGCAGTCCCTGGAGCTGTGGCTGGAGGTGGAGCTGTTGCTGGTCCACCTTTGGGGGGTAAAGCAAAAAACTTCCGGATGCAGACCCCTGACGACTGTCGCTGATGTTGTTATTGTTCTTTCTGACAGCAGTCCCCACACTTCCGTACTTATCCTGCAGGTACTTTTGCACATTGATGTTGTACTTGCTTCGGGCATTGGAATTGGAATTGCAATTGGAATTGAGCCCAATTAGCATTAATTGTTGGCTTAGCTGATCTTCATTGTTCTCGAGCATCGTCAGCCCCCCAGGCCGGCCAGGACCCTCAGGGGGGCTGTTCGAAGGTAGCACGTCCGGTTGATATTCCTCGCTCTGCCTGATGATTGCAGTTTCCCGTATGTCACAGGCAGTGGCAGTGGCAGAGGCAGAGGCAGATTGCATGATCCTGTGATCCTCAATGACGTTTGATCGGTTCAAATCGTACCCTTTGGACGTTACACTGAGCTTATCTGTTTGTAATATAACATAAGACATAAAAAGTACATGTCATTAGGGGATTAAGAGGGTGAGGTTGGGGGTGACCTACCTTTGAACTTGCGCTCTAAGGTAAGTGTTTCGTCGCGGTGTTTTCGTGCGCCATAGTCATCCTCTCTACTGAGCAAAGAGTTCGAATTCCGGGATGCCATATTATTGCCGCCAATGGCCGAGGGCCGATTGCAAAGGTATCCCATTATTGCATGTGGACTTCTGTTTCTGTCTATACTCGTTATCAAGTTAGAAAATTTTCTGTTCTCGGCTATGGGCTCGACCGATCTGTGTCGATCTGTCGCTTGATTTTGGAACGTGTCGAGCAGGACCTCCGTACCCCCGGCAACGACTACGCTGTTGCTTACGCCATGCCCATGGAGGACCACCGCTCCAGCATCGCTGGAGAATTGTTGAGCGGAAAAGTTAATCGATCGCAGGTGGGTGTGCTGCCGGGGATGCAGATGGAGATGCTTGAACCGCCTGTAGATGCAGTAGGTTACCATCGACAGCAGGACCGAGACGCTGATTAGGCCCAGGACCATCAGACAGATGATGACAAAGAGATTGCTGTTTAGGAGCAGGTCCCGCTGCACGCTGGACTTTTGCACCACGAGGCTCATCTGGACGGCATCCTTGCCGCCAGCGTTCTCCGCCAGGCAGGTGTAGACGCCCTCATCGCTCTTCTCGGCACCGACTATGGTGAGCCGCGAGGTGAAAACATCGCGACCGAACTGTGGATCTCTTGTCGATCTTTTCTCTTCCCGGAGCATCTCGATGTGAACACGCGGATGGCGTGGACCCATGGAACCCGTGGAACCCATGGACCCCGTGGTGGAACCCGATTTGTACAGTTGCTTATTGTAGTCCCAGGCCACGACCGTATTCGGTGAGCCGTGCACTCGACACACGAGGGTTACATTCTCCTTCGAAGTGTTAATGGAGGCACCGCGTGCCGGATAGACAATCTTTGGCTTGCAGGCAAACGCCTCCGGCTGATCCTCGATCCAGAGCATACTGCGCAGCTGCAGCGGATAGTGGCAGGCCGTCGGCGGTGTGTACAGGTTCATCTTGAGTACGAAGTCACGAAACTCCTGAAGATCGCAGGTGCAATTCCATGGATTCTGGTCGAGCGACAGGGCCGTCAGTCGGCTCAGACTCTGAAAAGTCTCCCTGTGCAGCACCCGAAACTGGTTGCCGTCCAGATAGATCTGTGAGAGGAGCGGCACGTCCAGAAACGCCTGCGGATCGATACTCACCAGGCGATTGTGTTTCAGCTCGATCTTGTGCAGGTACTTCAGATGATGGAAGACACCGCCGCGCAGGGTCTGCAACAGGTTACCGTTCAGCACCAGGGCCCGCACCTTGGTCAGGCAATCGAAGACATTGGGCAGCAGTTCTCGCAGCAGATTGTTGGACAGATCCAGCTCGATGAGTATCTCCAGCTGCGTGAAGCTTTGCGGTATGATCTTTTGCAGCGTACTGTTGCGTATGAACAGCTTGTGGAGATTCTGCAGCTGCGTGGCCAGAAAGGCGTTCTCCTCGAGGGTGAGTATCTGGTTCTGGGACAGATCCAGCACTTGGACCTCCGAGCTGAGATACTCCGGTACTCCGCTGAGACTCAAATTGCGGCAATCGGCCGTCTTCTTGCCCGAGTTCCACTTGCAGTGACAGTTTCCACAGTCCATTAGCCAGTCACCGCGCGCGGGTCTCGGCCCCGGCACGAGCCGCAGTAGAGATACCAGACAAACCCATTTGAAGAGCAGTAGGAGTATCGGAAGACGAAGACGAAGGCTAGTTAGGCTTGAGCTTGAGATTACCATTGTGATGAGCATTCCTATCACCGGCAGCTGCCGCCTGCTGCCTGTGTCACATTCTAGCTCATGCTCTGCCTCTGGCGTTGATGCCCACTTATGCCGTGACCCTCTACAAATGGAAGGAACACGTAATGACCTAACCATCTGCTTCCACAGGAACCATCAGGAACCGTGGGCCTCGGACAACTGAATCTTAGTTGTATTCGATGCCCCTTATCGCGGTCCCTGGTCCTCGTTTATGGATTTTGAGTCTACTTTTGAAGTGCGTCTTGCCAGCACCATATCTTCATGCAAATCAATTGTGAGGGGCCGCGGTTTATATATGTACATTTATGTGTGCCTTTATCGCTTTGTTTTCCAACCATCCATCTATGCAGTTTTTGCTACGTGTGCGTAGTCCTGAGAGCTGTGCAATATATGCATCCTGTTGGACTAAAATGAAAACGGATTTACATATGCATATCTGTTTTTTGTTAAGCACTATACATAATTATTTGCATGGCTCTACGATTGCGTGTGTGGAACATGTACTTGTAAAACATACATGGATAGACACAAGATACAAGCGAGTGTCCCAGCTTAAAGTAAAGATTAAAGATAAATTTTCCAAAAGCTAAGCTACATCTACTATTTTTCAGAGTTTTTACCGACCCGCGCGACCGAATGCCAGTCCGCATCTACCTAGTTCCTTTCAAACTGTTTCTGACTATTCGTTGTTCTTTTGCTTCTGACACTTTGGGTCTGTTCTTGGCCTTATTGTTGGCACAGCTTTTGAGCGCCATTGGCCACTGGCGATTGGCTATTGGGGATTGGGGGATTCATTGGCAACATGCTGCTTGGCGCCTTGTTAGTTTCACCTTCGTCCCTCGACACACGACTAAGCACAGATAATTTCATCAACACACATAAAAAAGAAGGAAAATAATTGAGAACACAAGGCTGGTCGTTTCAGTATTTCCAAAGTCTTTTCAACCTTTTTACACTTTTCTTATTCGCTGTCTTTAAAATATCTGGTTTTGTTTTTGTCCGCACTGACACTGGCCATGACACGGGGCACTTGATTGGCTTGACTCGCAACACCACCTGATAATTTCCCTATTATGCATAAAGGAGGGGCACACGGCTTGACCGTGTTTATCATTGCGTTGCCCAACGTTTGGCATACAATGCTAATCAACTGGGGACTCGGCTCACTATCGTCCCGATATCATCTTTAATAAATACCCGTATGTATGTGAAAATTGCATAGTTTACTTTGGGAAAATTCCAAGCCAAGGTGAAAATGAAACCAAAACACTGCGCCGCGCCAGAATCACGAACAACACGACACTTTTCACGAACAACGAATTGATGTGCCGATGCTGGCGTGGTCCCAACACGTTCACGAATAACTGTTTTGGGTTCCCGTTATTCACATTACTTATACGCCCTCTCGTTAACAGTAGTGCTAACAGTGTCGTTAACGCTAACAGTGGCATTAACATTGCGCATGTCAACTAGCATTTCATCTCTCTCTTTGCTCTGCTACGTGATATCGGAAAGGCATTAGACTGGACTGGACTTGAACTAACTGGTTGGTTGGGGAGTACGCAGAGTACAGAAGCAAACCAGTAGACATTTGATGATTCGCGGCACCCGTGCCGCGACCCTACTAATAGCCGGTAATCATTCATTTCATAAATCTTATGATTTACGTAACTTATAAACAGCCTATATTTTATACGACAATAAGTGCCACATCTCTCTCTCTCTCTCTTTGCACACCTACGAAATAGCGTCCAACCGTTATATCTCGCTCACTCCGACAGATGGCGCTCACTAGACGGGGAAAAGTGTTTGAGAGAGAGAGACAGCAACCATTTGCACAAATTTGCACACAAACTTATTTATGTATTCTAGAAGAAATTAAACATTCTTTATTCAAGTCAACGGCATCATAATTATTGGATATTTTGTCTACAGGCCAAATCGATCTCGATCTTCCCATTATCATACAGCACTTTTGGCTGTAGATCCTTGCTGAACGACAGGCCTGTATAACGTTCGATATCTTTGATGCGGTGACGCCTATCGCGGAAGCTGCCACCACCGTTGCCAGTGTTTTTAATGATGTACGCCTCTATGGTGGACTGGGCCTGGACCTTTGACTCGAAGATCAGCACCTTGAAGTAGTGCGTCGGAATGGGCGTGACAGTAGAGTCCAGTTTCCTGTACTCCACCCACCATGTACAGCCATTGCCCATGGGCATGTAAATGGGACCGGTGTAGGAGTACACCGATCCGCATTCCTGTGTCTTCAAAGTCACGTACTGCTCCAAGTCGTGCCAGATCTGCCGCTTGAAGGCCCTGCCCATCTCCGCGGAGTCATCGCCCAGCAGAAATACATTCTTGTAGCGGAGAAAGTCATTTGGCCATCCATTCGCATTCCCGTCTCCGGCGCGAAAATGCTCGATTATCCACCGGGCGCTCTTCATGTCTTGTTCCTGCGACATAATGTAGTCCTTGTGCACCACCAGATTTTCTGCGCTTGGTAAACCGTACTTGATAAGATCCAGCATATTCGCAACAGAGGGCTCTCCGTCATTCTTCGGCTTTGGCATTAATACCTTGTGCAGCCGTGGGATTAGCATCTGGCATAGTTTGTCCTTCAGCCCAACGGAGCGATTCAACAGTCTACCCTCGTGATCTGTGCTGAAAGTAGAGAGCTGCCCCCCCCCATGGAAGGAAGTTACTACCATCCCATTGACAAGGGATAAAGTATATATCACTTACAAAGGGATAGAGCCTGTGCCGATAGTAATACAAATACGGATCCCTCTTTATCGCTTCGAATAGGTGGATTATCGACACCTCGTGCTGGACAAAGGCACCGCAGAGAACGCCCGACACACCAATCAAGGCGCACACTCCAAAACGTTGTTGTGGATCGGACATTGTTTATTCGGGTAATTACTAATAATGTATATATTGAAGTGAGGTAAAGTATTTGTTTGTTAGTTTATTTGTTTTACAGGCAAGAATGTTGAATGTTATCTAAAGCAAAGCCTACTGCTGCGATATCACCCAGAAATCCGCTTCGATTCTTACTCCAGCCACAATCCAGGTCGAAAATTGGAGTAACTTTTGAAGGCAATATCGATGGAGCTAGGGCATGGGGAATCAAAGACTATGTCGTAATGTTCTATAAGTGGAATTAAAAGAAGCAAATAAATTCGCACGTATTTATGCCAACACCACACACAAGGCCTGTTCATAATTATTGCACCATCAAGAGTCCTGCTGACGCCAGGTAAAACCGTGTTCAGATTTCCTTTGCTCGCTCGTCGTTTCTCCCTCTTTTTGTTCTCCTAGACGGGCGTTGGCCTGCCTAAATTAGTTGTTTGGGATTATGCCACATCAACGCCCCGCAAAATCTCCACTTTGGCACGCAGCCAACAGTGCAAAGGCTTCCGGCCAAGGGCGTCCACTTCAGGGCGGCATATTTTTTAATTATGTGCTTCAAAACTGAAAACGATTTAACCATTAGAGGACAGTCGTCTCACGAAGTGTATTTCAAATTCAGATATGTGGCTAATTCTAGCTATTATTAACTGCTTAAACCCTTGTCTTCTCCCACTGCCAGCAGTTGCCATGCCCCTATGTAAGTCGATTTAACGTTTGATTAGTAAATACATACTATATAGCACAGGGCGTAGCATACTATGCAAAAGGAATAACAGATCGAAATCCGCTTTTATTTTTAAATTCAATTCAAAACACGCGCCTTAATCAAATGCAGCATTGTGCGCGGCGCTGCCGATTTTTCAACAGGAAAAAACCTTTTTTTAACGTGAATATATCGAAAAAAAATAGCTGAGCATTTTCCGAAAAAATTTAAATAGTCCTAATTAATGGTTTAAGAATGGTCTTCCCAATCACGCGTAGATAATTAGATAAGTAGTCTAAGCAGCCAGACCAGTATATTTAAATAAAAATTGCCTTTCACTAACTTTGTTTTAAAACCTTATTTAAGGAAAAATGCAATGTAAGGGAATAATTCAAATTAACATATCTTGTAGATAATGTATCTATCAATCGGATACAAATATGTATTCAGGTATGGAAGTCCTAGCCGGCTGGTAATATCCAATCGAATATCAAAATCGGGGACCAATTCTTGCCATAAAACGATTAACCCATTGTAGTTTACGGAGTTTTTTAATATCCCACCGAAAATAATGAAAATTTAATCATATTAACGCAGTTCAGATGAAAAATATCGGGGGGTATTTTGAAAGTGAAGAGAAAGGACAAGATGGATCTACAAGAAGAAATTACACTCAATAATATTTTTCGCCATTCAGCTCAAGTCGTTGAACTGTTTGAATAGAGGGGGCTTAAGTGGGCTAAGTTCATGTTTTCATCGGTATATATTTTGGTATATTTCTGAAGGTCACACTGATTTTCTTGGTATGGTAGTTGGTAGTTTCCATTGGACGCACCCTCTTGTCAAATGCACCAATGTACAAACTGTTAAACTGCCATTAAGAGCCATGTCCAGGCCACATCAAATAATAATTCATGGTCAGCAGCAAACTCCTGCTTGTTTGCTTGAAAATCAAATTTTTTTCAAAAATGTCGGAAAAAGGCCGGTCTTAAGGTGGATTACGGAGGTTTTTAAATTGGGGTTCCATGGGGATTATATGAAAAAAACCGCCAAAAATTTGTGAAACGTACACATAGGAAATGTGTAGTTAACATACAGTTACCATGTAAGGAAATGGTTTTAGTGGAAATTGTTTAAACTTATTTTACAATCAAATCTAATAAAAAGGATTATTTAAAATTAGCTAGTGTTGTAGAAAATGACCAAACGGATATAACCAAGGTCTTACCTATGTGGGAATATTCAACCGAATATCGCTTGAAAAAAATAAGTCGTCAGTATATTTACGGTTTGTTTTGGCTTGGTATAGTTTGGTATATTTGTGAGGGTCACCGGACGCCAGCCGTATCGATAGACATTTGGTAATTGCTATCGAAATACAAAAGACGCCAGCCAGCCACAAATAAATTAAATTAATAAAGAAATGGATAACGGCAAACTTAGTGCCGTTCGCGTGGCCGTTCGCGAAGCACCATTTCGTTCCTTCCTAGGCCGACAGGAGCCCAGCATCGTCCAGTTCTCGCCGCAGGCCGGCAACGTAAGTGATCGTCCACTCCTGTACTGTAACTGTACCTGGACGCCATTTCATCAATATAAAATCCAGTGATAATAATAATCTTTGTCCTCGTCCCATTCCTGTGTGCCCCCATACCGCCTCAGTCACTGGTGGTGGACCAGAACGATTACCACTTCGACCACGCTTTCCGCTCGAGCGTCAGCCAGGAGCAGCTCTACGATGCGCTCATCCAGCCGCTAGTGGATAAGCTCTTTTGTGGCTTCCAGTGCACGGCCATGGCCTACGGCCAGACGGGCACCGGCAAGAGCTACTCCATGGGCATGGTCACGGACAAAGAGCCCACCAAAGAGGAGCACCTGGGCGTCCTGCCGCGCTGCCTGAGGGACATCCTGGATCGGGTGGCCGCACAGCAAGAGAACACCGCGGAGCTCACACGGATCACCGCCTCCTTCATCGAGATATACAACGAGAAGGCGTTCGACCTGTTGAGCACCTCGCCCATGGACCCCATGGTGACCTCGCGCTGTCAGAGCCGCACCTGCATGCCGCTGGCCAGCCAGCAGGATCTGCAGCGCCTGCTGCAGCTGGGGACGAGCAATCGCCACGTCCGGCGCACCAACATGAACGCGAAAAGCTCCCGCTCCCACGCCATCGTGACCATTCATGTGTGGCAAGAGGACGGCAAGGAGCTCGCACGCATGAACATCGTCGATCTGGCCGGCTCTGAGGGCGTGCGCCGCACCGGGCACGAGGGTGTGGCTCGCCAGGAGGGAGTCAACATCAACCTAGGCCTGCTGAGCATCAACAAGGTGGTGATGGCCTTGGCGGCCGGCCATGCTGTGATCCCCTACCGCGACAGTATCCTCACCACGGTCCTGCAGGGTGAGTAACCCGCGACCCATCCATTTACGCATCATGCGATCTGATTATAATCTTTAATATCTCATTCGCAGAGTCGCTGACCTCGCAGTCGTACCTCACCTTCCTCGCGTGCATCAGTCCGCACGGCTGCGACCTAACCGAGACCATTTCTACGCTCCGCTTCGCCAAGAGCGCCAAGCGGCTGCGCCTCAATCCCCAGCAGATGAATATGGCGCGCGCCCACCAGCTCCAGCTGCAGCAGAAGGTAAGCCATCCTAGATATAGTCGCTGTCAACGCAGTCGAGGATTACCTCGCGCATGCGCCGCTTGTAGAGCTCCTCGTTGCCGGTGCCCAGGAAGCCGGCTCCCTGGAGGTTAGTGCTGCCGCCGGCTTCGATCATATCGCTGATAGCCTGCAGATCGGGCACATCCTGGCCCTGCATGGTCACTATCGGCAGCACCATCATGGCGAGGAGCAGGCCTACGGCCGCCTTGGCACGTAGCTGCTCCGCAAAAGCCTTTCGAGGCAGCAGCTGCTCTACGGACTCACCCAGTCTGAGAAAGGATTAAGATAAGAGGCATTACCGGATACGATTATCTTTAAATGGGATAGGGATTATAGGTGGGGCGCTCACCTCGTCAGCTGCTGGCCTAGCTGGACATGGTACTCCTCGAGCATGGCCTGCAGATGCCTTTGGCGGAAGGCGCGCGTGGTGCAGGTGAATAGGAAGTAGGCCAGATCCGTTACTGGGGAGGCATAGCGCATCAGCTGCCAGTCGATCAGCCGGAGATCGAGCGGACAGAGCCTGTACATGATGTTGTTGTTCCAGCAGTCGCCGTGGCAGACCACGGCATAGGGCTCGCAGTTGGTGCCGTTGATCAGGGGCAGGAGCAGGTCGAAGTAGGTTCCCCGCGAGAAGTACTCCCTCAGCCGCGCCCCGTACGCGTCATCCGCCGGGGAGAGCAGAGCGCTGAGCGCACTCTCCTTGAGGTTCTCGAAGTATGAGGCGAGGGCGGTGTCGTCCCGCCGCTGCTCGAAGATGTCTACCATTTGGCGGAAGGGGAGCAGCCTCTCGGGGCACTGGCGCTTGGCCGCCAGGGAGACGGCGTGCAGCTTGCCGTAGGCGCGCATCACCTGCGCCACATGCTGGAGGGGTAGGTGTCTGAAGCGGTCGTGTAGCTGGAAGCCGGAGCGGCACAGATCCTCCAGTACAATGCACTCGTCGGGCTCGTCGCGGCAGGTGTGGAAGCAGCGGGCGTGCTGCCGGAAGCGCTCCTCCTCGGGCACGCCCCACCGCTCCTGCAGCTCCTCCACGAGGGGCAGGAACTCCTCGTAGGCCTGCGACTCGCGCAGGAAGCACGGCCTGGCGAAAAACTGCTTGCGCCGGACGCTGTTCTGAGGCGGCAGCTTCACCACCAGGCTGCGATCGGGGGGCACGCGTAGGCGCCACACCACGCCCAGGTAGTTGTCGCCTTTGGCGCTGGCTCGCTGCAGGTGATCGCTGAGCTCTGAGCTCGCGGGCAGGCTCTTCTCTGGCCAGAGTTCCCTGATCAGCTGCCGGAGGCGCATGGTCACGCGCTCATTGGGGAGATCATCCTGGGTCGGTTCCTCCTCCTCCTCCTCCTGCTCCTGTCCCGGCGGCTTCTCCCTCTGCGGCTCCATGCTGAACTGCGCCACAGGCGGTCTCATGAACGGCTTTTATAGGATGTCGATGGGAAACCGCAGCAACCACAAGCGAGCATCTACATATGCGCCTTCTCATGTTTCCCCTTTTTCGCATTGCAGCAATCCATGGCCGCCCGCACGCCGCACATCTTCCGGAGGGTGATGACCAGCTCGACGTCCGTCAAGCGGAGCAGGCCGCCCCAGAACGCTGGCGCAGGAGCCCCCATTCAGAACAGCTCTTACCTGATGCCGCCCAAGGCCAAGGAGAGCATACCCCTGATGCAGCTGCAGCTGCAGCGCACGCGGTCGGAGATGGGGCTGACGCCAAAGGCCAAGAAAAGGTGGGCTCCATTCGACTCCCCCCTTGAGAGCGTGCTCTGACCATCTATCTTTATGCCTCTCCCCAGGGCCCGCGAGGAATTGCAGCTAGAAATGGGACTGATTGCGCCATCGGTCAGCGACATGTCAGAGAGCAGTCTCGTTCAGCCACAAGATTTGAAACCACTGGCATTGCCCATGCTCCACATCCAGCGCACGCGCTCCGAGATGGTGCTGACGCCCAAGGGTGAGAGGAGGTGCGTACAAGATGGAGACTCTCCCGATGTGACCCTTTCTAGCTCGGGTCTGCATCTGATTATCCCTCTAAATAGAGGCCAAGAGGAGGAGCTCCAGCTGGATGCGACATTGGTGGAGCCATCGAGGATCAATTTCTCGGACTGCACCCAGGAGGAGCAGGACTCCAAGACAATGGCCCCCCCACCGCCTCCGGATAATGGCAGGAGGAGAAGCAGGAGCTTCTTCCATTCCTCTGTGCTGAGCATACCAGAGGAACCAGGCGCACAGCAGCAGCAGTCGCAGCAGCCCATGAGGTGCCTCTTCTTCAGCAGTCCCTTCAGTCCGATCAATCTGCAACCGGCTGACTCATTGCAGATGAGCGGCATCCTGCCACTGGAGACCAGTGTAAGGCCACAGGTGAGACGCTCCGCCCGCTTGAACAGCATGTGCAACATTACGCAGCATCCGCCGGAGCAGCAGGAGCAGCAGCAGCAGCAGCAAAAGAATGAGAGTGTACTGCGCCGCAGCATGAGACTGGCGGTGAAATTGGAGAAGGGCGTCGTGCAAACCAAGGACTTGTTGACCACACAGATCTCGGGCAGCGTAAGAGTCCGTGGCGTTCGCTCAAAGGCGGCCGCGACAAACTGGATGAGCAAGCATCGGGTCATGTTCCTGAATCTTCTCAACACGGCGGAAGTTCGCGAGCTACAGAAGCTGCCTGGCATTGGCCCGAAGACCGCCTTTGCCCTGGTTATGCAGCGGTGAGTGAACAGCAGAGGTGTCACAAAATAATTCCAATAATTCCGGGCTGTCGTCTCTTTTCTCCCGCAGATCGCGGCTGGGCGGCTTCCAGAGCTTGGCTCAGATTGAGAGCCTGCCCATCTGGGCCGGCAAGAAGTGGCTGCGCGTGTGCCAGGCCAACTGTTTGGATCCGTAGGAACCACAGTAAATCATCCCAACCAACCTAACAACTTTTTTGTGTGTGTAATAGTCCTGTCGATGTTTAATAGTTTTTTTGTTTGTTTGTGATTTTTTTAATTTTATAGAAACTAGCGTAGGGTTAAACTAAGGAAGCAGCGAATCATCCCAGAACCAATGAAAACTATTGTATTTTAAATAAACATTTTGTAACACCGTTACCTTTAAGTGATCCTTTAATAATTGATGTAAACTAAAGATTAAATTCCCATCATATATAGGTACATATGTGTCATAATTTCGTTACTCAATTATTAGGTATTAATAGAAAGTGACGCATTTAGGAGTAAATTGGAACATTGACAAATCAGTGAACGAACTAAGATATAGGCAAAACAAAATAATCTGGATTGTATTCATTATTTTGTAATTATCAAATAGACCCTGAAACCAATTTAGATACGTCATAGCCCTGTCGACAACCACGAGTTTAATAATCTATAATACTTACATATATGAACCGAATGAAAGAGATCTGCGGAGATATGGACACACTCCCGGCAAACACTCGACAAGCCAGCGGGAGGTGACCTCATAGAAAAAACATATCGTGTGCTAAATTAGACCGGACCGTATGCTGTATTTATTAGTGTGGGCCCTGCCACCAGCTTCTATATTAAGGATTGGCTTAGAAGCTTATATATATCCTCGATAGTATAGTGGTCAGTATCCCCGCCTGTCACGCGGGAGACCGGGGTTCAATTCCCCGTCGGGGAGTAGTATTGCTGCAAGGTATCATGAGTGATTAGTTTTACTCCTTTTTTTTTTTGGACTTTAAGTGGACTAGTAAGGAATGATGTCAAATGTTCAGATTATATGGATTTGACCAATTTCCCGGTCTGCTATATATAGTACTTCATGTGTTGCTGAAGATATTTTAACCAATCGTTGAAGTCATACATACATATGTACATATGTACACACATATATATATTTTTCTGTACATAACTCCACTAAAGATTATCCAAAACGAATCATTATATCATATGGTTGTCATAGAAAGGAAACATCTTAACGGTGTCCATCTTCCTTTTCGTACGTGCGTGACTTTGGGAAAATTGGACAGCAATCATCTCTAGTTTCTCCCCAATGGCTGTCCCTGTCTTGCTTGCACTCTCACTCTCTTTTCCTTCTGCATGTGGGATCGATGTGCAAGTTGTTTTGCCACCTTGCACAGTGCTAGAGGCAGGGGTGGTGACAGAAAATGTATCTTAAAGATATGTAAGTACATTTAGTTACGGCCGGGCCAAAACAAAGCCCGCAGGCCACCCTCTGCCCGTTTATCAACCGCAGCCGCAGCCGGTGACCGATATAGCGGCTCTTGTTTTTTGGTAAACAAGATAAGGACAAAGAGAAGAGCCGATCGATGAGAAGAGAGCAGAGAGCGGAGAGCAGAAAGGAATCTAAGTGGCGTTTTCTGATTGGAAATTGCTTAAAGATAACGCCCGAATATAAGCGTTGCTGGCTGTGGGCAGGGGCAGGGGCAGGCGCTACAAGTTAGGTACAAAGTGTATCTGGTTAGCCGCAGCCGCAGTCGCAGTAACAGTCGCCACCGCTGCCAAATAGCAAAGAGGAAAGGAAAAGGCGAGCAAAAGAAACCAGCAAAACAGAAAACAAGAAAAAACGCGTCTTTGTGCGAGCAAAACAAACAAGACAACTTATGTACACCGCAATCAGGGAAGGCGACTCTTAAATACCCTTCTACCAGCAGAGAGTAATATGACTGTTAATCGTCCATCTCTCTTTTGCTCTCAGACTTTCCCTTCCGGCACAACAAGACTGCCGTTAAGACGGCACTTTTGCAGTACATATGTATACACACACATATGTAATACAATCAATTAGTGAATCGCAAAAATGTATGACAACGAACCACACCCTCTTCTATATCTAGCCACAAGCCGTCGTCTCTCTCCGAGCCGGTTAGAGTGCACGCTTCGTACGCCACAACAAAATCTCAGCGCCGCATAAAATGCGCCGCAAAAACAAGCTAGGCAGCGGCAGCGGCAGTGGCAGAGGCGGTGGCAGCGCCAGCAGCAGCAGCTCCAAGCCAAGGTATATTAAACAGAAGGTAAGGTAGTTCGCGAATGCTGCAACATGATAATTAATTCTCATGCGTCTAATTATACCTTCCCTTTAATAGACCTTGAACTTTTTGATCACAACATATGTAAGAAAAAATGTAATAAACAAAACAAAGCCATAACCAGGCAAAGGACAAGGTACATATATTTAAGCGATTGTGAGTCAAATCCGTACTTCAGATATCCTCTCTACACTTTTTCTGTCTATCCGAATGCATTGTCATGTTCCTACTGTGAAGCAAAATATGCAAACATCCTGAGGGTGCTATCTGGCAAGTCCTCAATCCTTCTACTGAATATACATACCTTGGCAAAGCAAGCAACGACGACCGGCTTTTTTTACATATGTGTGTAGACTGCACACGCCACCACCCCACTATGGTCCCAACGACCACTTTTGTTGGCCAAAACCCAATTTTTAAAAGTAACAACTAAAGCCTGGTTTTGATCACTCTGCATTAGAAAAAGAGTGATCCTGCGTGCGCCCCAACTTGTAAAGTAAAATAATTTTTGAAAAGGTACTGTTATATTCCAAAAAAGGTCGCACAGCACGAATAAGGCCGATCTTCTTGTATCAGAGGGAGGAAACATCAATTTATTGATTTGAGCGTCAAGCATGGCCGGACGAAAATGAGGCAAATACGACGGAGAAGGCTAAATTACTTCGTAAGGCTGTAAAGGACCCAGTCGGAATAAAAAAATGTTGTTTCGTTCGCGAGTTATTAATTTTGGCCAACAAAAGTGGTCGTTGGGACCATAGTGCACCCCCTCGCGGGCACCGACAACCCGGCAAAGCAACGCATCACATACACACATTTCGGCTTCTGCTGCCTCTGCGCAGCGGCAACTGGCAACTGGTTGTTGTTGCCGAACGCCGACGCGCTGCGCTGCCAAAAGGCGACGCCAACTTCGTGCGTTTAAAATGTCGCAGCCGCAGCGGCTTTGAGCTCTGTCTAGAAGCAGCACTCCAGAAGAGCAGAGCAACTAAAACTAGTCAAAGTCAATTCAAATTCAGTTTCGGTTCGAATGCGGATTTTGTTTTGATTGGACATTCGAATCAGCTGATTATTGTGTTAACCGTTAACCTGTGATCCGATCTCCAGTTAAGGAGACCAGCAGCAACAGCAGAAGCTGTATAAGCAGTATCACACGATCCAACAATCATGGCGCAACCTTTGAAATTCTACTTTGATTTCCTGAATCAATCCAGTAGGGCACTCTACATATTTCTGGAGGCCTCCAAGATACCGTTCGAGGCGATACCCATATCGATGCTCAAAGGTGAGTACGTGCCCAGCAGCACACACAGCCCACACCGAGCCCACACACAAATGTACATATGTATACATATACACATAGGGCCCAAAGGTCGACCACACAAACACGAACATTTCTATGCACTTATATTGCTATCCCTTTCATGGATTCGGTTTTTGGAATGGGGTTTTCAACAAATTTTCCGCTCGTTAAAAATTCCACTGGTTAGGTCTCCACTTTACTCAAAGGTTTTTGAAGGGGAAAGCGAGACTGCCCATTGCAATGCCACAAAGATTGAGTAATATCCAAAGCCCAAACAAAGGTACAACTACACCCGCACTCGCATTCCCTTCTCTAAACAGTAGTAGAAATCACCAGAAAATTTAATGATGAATCAAGAATTAATTGAAATTAGTCACAGGAATTTTTTCACCTCAGTCGAGTACAATGTATCGATCGTTATTTTTGTCGCGAGATAAGTGTACGTGAGGATTCCTATAAAAAATGGGAGCTACTGCCATTAGAACGACTAGTGGAACGTGTTTTATTTGTCGAATCGATTAGGGGACTCATTTCCCTGCCCTGGCCACAAAATCTTTGGCGCATTCAAGAATCCATCGTATTTGCACAGAAAGCTACGGACCTGATGGCTACTTACTGGGTATACGTATACCACCTGTGTGGTATCCGTGTTAGATCTATCACCTGCTTGCCAAGTTTTGGGCCACAATAAAAGCGGTTTGAGAAGCACCTACTGCAGCTCTTTGTTGTGTCGTTTTTCTTGTCTTTGAGTGTGGACTTGGTCAAGGTTACAGAAACTACGAAACTGTTGCGTGGTGTAGCATCCGCGCACGCATACGGTTAGCGCTGAACGCTTATCGAGACCACGCCCCCCATAAACTATAGAATTAATTCGAGGATGCAATCAGGCAGTGACAGAGGCTGAGCCATTAACAAGCTGTGCCTTTAATCGCACATACTATATGCGAAATGCGATCTGCGATCTGCGCCATTGCATACATATCACATCACCTCAACACATCGTACGAGTGCGAGAGCGAGTGCGAGAGCGAGTGTGAGTGTGAGTGCGAGTATATATACATATATAATTACGATCTCTTGTCAAGTTGGCTATTTCTTGGCTGACGTCAGCCCCCCTCCATGTCCCATGCCCCATGCACTCCCCTGCCTTGAAGATACAAGTGATATCCGTGTCTGAGATCCAAGATCCGAGATCGAGTCTCTTCACTGTATGCTAATCGCATGGAATGGTATGGCTTGGCAGGCGCCTGCCTGCCTTCAGCAGATCATCGAAGCTTTTATTTCGTCCAGAGACAGACAGCGACAGCAACAGCAAAAGCGCAGCGACTGAAGCAGAGACTGAGACTGCAGCAGAGGCTTAAGCCTAGACTATACCGGGGGGCTGGCCGAGACCAGTTGGACTTTGCCCCGCAACTCGACTTGGTGGATCGAGTGCAGCCGCAGACAACCACAAAGCAATGGCAACGGCTGCAAAGCTTAGAAAATCAGAGTCAATGCAGGCAACGGCTACGACGACGGCGACGGCGACAACCTTGTGGAGGTTAAAGACTCCGATCCAGCCGATACGATCCGATGCGCTCTACGCTGTGGAGGTAAACATTGGCTTTTACTGTTTGTGGGGGCTAAATCGTAATGTTCCCATATCATCGTATTATCGTATCATCGTATTTTCAGCGTGTGTACACTCGATCTATGCCCCCCTAAGCAATACGAAGCAGAATCTAATCTTTGGGCCTTCCCACTTTATGGGCCAACTGGGGCAATGGGAATGCAATTGCCTTTGGAGCAGGTTCTGTAGATAGTTTTCCAATCTTTTTGGTAAGAGGCTTCGCTTATCTCTCATGGGTATTGCAAGTAGATTTCAGAGAGATCTAAATATTACCTGAAGCTATATAGTAGCTATATATGAGTATTTCCAGTGATATTTCCCTCAGACTTTCATATAGATCCACAGCTAACCAGCCACAGCTAACCCGTTTAGACTCCACAGAGTATCCGTCTGGAATGTCAGTCCATCAACCAATCACGTGCCACTCACGAGCCGCCCTTCGGTCTGGTATAGTTTCACATAGTTACACTTCTAATCAAAACACAATCCCATTCAGATAGGGCCGTAATGTTGCTTTAATTTGCCAAATGGCAGCAATTATAGAATTGAAAAATTGCCGCTGCTTTTTCAAATCTAATCAAATGATGTCGGGAGTCACAGACCAGACTGTTATTTGTTCCCGCTCCAGTCTCCCCGCCCCTCGTCACTGTTTGTGGCTGTCAGACTGTCTGACTTGACAATTAATTTCCATGAAATTTTCACTTAATTTCTTTTGTTTTTGCACACAAAACACCCCATACCGATACCCACACAATCCCATTCCATGCCCCAATCACGATGGGAGCCATGCACATGCCACATCTCACTTAATTCGTGCCTGCCTACTCAATTTGTTTATATAGATTTCGATTCCGGAGATGGCCGAGCTGTTTAATTATAGCCTTTCATCATTATCATCATTATTTCCCTTCCATCCTCCGGAACCCGCCTCGCCTCTTGATTGGGTTCCGTTCCGTTCTGTTCTCTTCGGAGTGGGAGAGGCAGAGGCCCTACAAGTGCCACGAGTATACCCCCCCCCCCCCCCCCCCCCCCCCCCCCTTTTTTTCTTATGTATGTATTTACCCTTATCAAGTGCGATATGTTCTTATAACCTTGATGCGACACACACACAACTTGACATTGACAATGACTTTGGGACACACCCTCTTTTTTTGGGTGCAATCGGTTCTTATCTTCGGACTGGACTCCTTCCGTATCGGATGATGGAGGGCGGGAATCGGCTGTACTATTTCGGGTGTCACCTGTTACCGAGCGTGACTAGTAGATAATCAGAGCAGTGGTGGACAGGAATCAGGCGATGCCGTGATGTATGATGACTTTTGGCACTTATCGCTTCTTTTTCCTGCAGGCGAGCACCTGACCGGAGAGTTTCGGGACAAAGTGAACCGGTTCCGCAAGCTGCCGGCTATCACCGACCATGGCTACCAGCTGTCGGAGAACGTGGCCATCTTCCGGCATCTGGCGCGGGAGAAGCTCGTGCCGGAGCATTGGTATCCCCGCCGACAGCTGGGCCGCAGCCGCATCGACGAGTACTTGGCCTGGCAGCAGACGAACATGGGCGTGGCCTGCACGGACTACTTCCAGCAGAAGTGGCTGGTGCCGTATCTGCAGAAGACGCGTCCAGCGGAGAATGCGGTAAGACTACTAAGAGCTGCTTCCCTCCCAAACTTGCGACTAATCCCTTACCGATGATTATCCACAGGTGAATGTGGCTGGCAAGCAGCTAGAGCACACACTCAACGATTTCGAGCAGCTGTTCCTCAACTCGCGCAAATTCATGCTGGGGAACAACATCTCCTTTGCTGATCTCAGTGCCATCTGCGAGATCGATCAGCCCAGTGAGTAGAGTACAGTACATCCCCAAAGAATCCCCAATCACATTCTACCCTCACACAGAATCCATTGGCTTCAACGCCTTTCAGAACCGCAACAAGCTGGCCCGCTGGTATGAGGCGGTGCGCGACGAACTGGGGCCCTACTACAAGGACGTCCACGCGGAGTTCGAGGCCAAGCTGAAGCAGAGCAGCGGCAGCAGCAGTCAGGGGCAGCAAGGCGTGGCACAGGCCCTGAAGCAGTAGAGAGCCTCAGGACCCAGGACAAATCTTGATTAGTTTTAACGATTATTAATTATAAATTACCCTCTCTTCAGTCTATTCTATATATCTATTTTTTTTTTTGTTTTTTTGTAATATCCTATAATGAATTTCTTGAGATTCCCCCTACTATCCCTATCCCACCTCCCTCTTCCCTTTCCCACCCTCGATCTGTGGCACGCCCTAATGGAATGACCCTGCATATATGATCTATATAGTATTTAGTTGTTAAATATCTTAATTATCCATACATAAAGTACGCTTACAATTGTTTAACCAAAAAACATAATAGCTGGCTAATATCTGTAGACTGTTGGAGATTGTAACCCTACCCCCAAACGAATATCCGAAGATGCAGATTTGTTTGAAAAAGAATTTAAAAGAGAACCAAACCAGTTGGAATGTTTCCTGATCTGACCGAACATCGTGCAGACTAGGACCGACAGGTAGACAATATGGATGGGGCTGATGCTGGGCAAGATGGGACTGCATCTGGCTATTTGATAACTGTAGGGAGTACCGGCAATAAGAATACTTATCTTGGAGTTACATTTACATTTAGGGTTCATATATATTTCGATTAACATCTGAATGGGTCGTGGTGGTGGGTGGTGGTCGCCTTCGTGTGACGAGCGAGTGAAGGTGGTGCTAAGGTTGGACGAGGGTTCATAATGAGAACATGACGTGTGTGCAGATGTGTACGTGTGTACAAGTGTGTACAAAATATAGGATCAGATCAGGGCATCTGTCTGCTTATATCACAATGAGATTTGTATACACAGAAATTGTTTTTGTGTAGAGGAATGCTGATGGATGCAGAAACGCGTGTCTCTGTGTCTGTGGCTGTGACTGGCCTTCCTCCTATTCATTTCATGGTGGAGTCGGGAAAGGCGTCACGCGGCGGCTTGAAGCTGAGCATCATAATGTGGCGAGCGTAGGATTTGGTGGCCCGGAACAGGGAGTCGGTGCCATGCAGGCGGTCAAGCACTCCCAGAACCCCAAAGCAGTTGCTGAATCTATACAAAAGGCGAATGGAAATATGGAAATGTCTGTCAAAGAAGGGAAATGGAAAAGAAAACTCACTTGAGATGGTGAAAATCGTGGGCCTCGGGGCTGGGGAAGAAGGGCAAATGGTAGCCGGAATGGGCATTGAGAGTGGACAGAATGGCCAGGGCGAACCAGAGCCAGGCGGTGGCCACGTGGCTGCCCATGAGAAATACGCCCAGGAAGGGGGGCAGCAGGTTGCTGAAGATGTGCTCGACGGGATGGCAATAGATGGCCGTCACCGAGATGGGGGCCGTCCACTCGTGGTGCTGCTTGTGGATGTACTTGTAGATGAACTTGTGGTGCAGCAGGCGGTGCGAGTAGTAGAATCCCAGCTCCTCCATCAGTATGCAGACGGTCAGCTCGAAGCAGACCCAGTGGAACGTGGGAAGGTCCCGGATGTCACTTAACCCACGGATCTCCATCAGCCGATAGCTCCCATATGCCAGTGGTATGCCCACAAATATCTGATTGAAGATCACACACCAAATTACCTAAGAATAGAGAACAGAGATCAATTCAGTTTCAATTTCAAATTGATTAATAATTTGTCACACCTTCATCAGACGTCGCGCCTCAACGGGCTCATTGGTCCCCGGCTGGATCTTGTATTTCCGCAGACAGGCCGGCCGGTTCGTCAGGTCCATGAATGTGTAGATTGTGCCAACAGTCCAGTAGACGATCATCGTAAATATAGTGGTGCCAAAGACCCAGAGGACCATGGGTTCATCTCCTGCAAAGAGGTGAAGTGTAAGTGCAAGTGAATGCGAAAGCTATTGCACATTAAAAAAGGAGGATCGCTGAACCCATGGATCTAATCGTAGTAATCCGGTCACAGAGACAGAGAGCACTTTATGTATTCTTAATACATATATGTATATTCCTGATTAGACCAAGGTTCAAATTGATTATGGGGGTTAGATCGTTTAGTTCTTAAATAATAATATAAGTATACAGAATTAGAAGTGTAGTATTCTCGGCTGGCCTTAACATAATGCATTTCATGGCTCATTAGCATTACCACGTTCAATGGCCCTTAACAGTAAACGCATTTCAAGCTATTTACAGCTTCCAGATATCACTAATTGTAAATAAGTGTAAAGGTTCGTTCCATTCGGGTCGGTTCGGAGTCCCTTTACGAAAAGCAAACAAAGTCCAAGAACAACATTGTGCACATATATGTACGTACATATGTATATAGGGATCCGCCATACTTTCCTTTTCTCCAGATGTACAGATAATATAGATGGAAAGAGGGGATACGGAACGGAGTAACCTTAACGATTCATTTTGCGTAATTGGCAGCACTTGTCCACTGATCTCTCTATCTCTTTCTGGGTGTGAAATGCAACCTGTGTTCGTGTGTGTGTGTACGATAAAGTATCTGTGTGTGTGTGTTCGGGCGAATTAGTAAACAAAACAATGGAATGCATGTTGGGGCAATATTACAATTTGCACAACCTCTCTCACTCGAGCACACAAACAAACAAAGAGCACAGAGTGAGAGAGGAGGAGCAAAGTACGGATTTTGATCACACTTACCAAACGAATCGATGAATTTGTCCCACTGCGATTGCCAAAAGTCACCGGAGGCGCCCCAAAAGCTCTGCAGATGCCTGGCGTACAAATAAGAAACCTCAACAAATTTCTCCTCCATGATATGGGCAACAACAGAAACAATAACAACAGCGGCTTGTTCTTATTCTGGTTCTTGCTGATTTCTCTTTCTCTCTCCGGGAACGTGTGTAGGTGTGTGTGTGTGTGTGTGTGTGTGTGTGTGTGTGTGTCGGGAAAAGGCAGTGCCCAATTGGGATTGGGGGTCTTCGTGGGTCAACGTCGCAAGCGCAACTGAATTTTTGGAATGGGAATGGCAATGGGATGGGGACAGATCGTGGCTAGAATGTGCGGAGGCACAGCTGAAAATGAGAGAGAGAGAGAGAGAGACACACACGCATATACTGAGAGAGAACGACGGTAAACGGTCACAGCACGAGAACAGCTGATTACGATCTAGCGAGAAAGAGAGAAATCAGAGACAACAAAAACAACGCTGTACTGACCAGGTGAGAACGTTGCGAAAGAGTATGAACACGGCCAGGGCGCACGTAATGATGAAGATGACGCTGTGCAGTGAAGAGAGCCAGACATCGGCGGTGCGGTGCTCATCCCAGGATCCTAATCCGGACCCGATTCCGGAGGATGAGTGCATCTGCTCCAGCTTGCTCGCATGCTAGTGAGTGGGGGCGAAAGTGAGAGAAAGAGAGAGACAAGACAACTGTTAGGGGGCAGGACGAGGGATGTGCGGTGGCTTACATCATTGAGGGTTAGGTAAACGGGAGGTAGACCAACTTTATCCTTGTGCGTCGCTGATCCAAATGATCCTGATCCTGAGGATGAGGCGGTGGCTGTGCCTGCGGGCGGCACTGTCAGGAAAACGGGCGAAGAGGACGTCGACGACGACGACGACGAGGATGAGTAGGATGTGGCTTGGGCGGAGGCATTGTTGGGCGGCCTTTCATGAGCCGGATGGGACATGTCTGACGTTGCTTACTCTTTCGAAATGAATTTAATTAATTGTTGCTCTCTTTTCCTTTTCCTTTTCCTTTCCTTCTCGCGCTTCTTTTCGTACGTTCCGTTTGTTATGGCCCGTGCTCTTCATTTGTTGCCCTTGACATTTAAAGGACTTTACTTTCGATTTTTCGATTTCACTGGAATTTCGCATCGATTTATGTGTGCGTGCGTGTGTCCTGAAAGTGCGGAACGGTCGCCTTCTTAGGGTTGCCGACAAAAACAAATTGCCAGCAATTGTTGTTGACTCTGGAGCAAAATACGCATTAAATCCGAATCCTGCAGTTGCCGCGAAAATCGTTTCGTTTGAATGTTTCGCCTGGCTGTAGGCGCTCCAACAGAAAGCTCACACACACATACAAAGAGAGACATAGAAGCACACATATGCACATCTGAGAGCTGCTCGCAGTGGGACCATGTTCTTCAAACTAAATAATAGAATAGAGATATGTATGCATTCAAAATGCCTTCGAGTTGAATAGAGCGGAGTGAGTGCGACGCACATAATGAATTGAGATTATATGAATGCCAGGGTGTGTAGGCTTCATCGGATGAAGATTCAGCTTGCAAAACAGTATGTTAACATTGATTAAAGGAAATAGGGTATACATTCGCCCACTCTCCATAAATATGTTGTTGCTATGTATCAATATGTTGATATTGTACACATGCCGTGTAGTTACCATGTAAAAAATTTACATTCGTGCTGACCTTTTTTGTATAAACTAAAAACTCCAATAAAATGCAGTCCTTAAAATTATCATATTAGGCTGAACGTTCTAGCTAGCTAATAGCTAGCTAATCATGGACATTGTAGACCAATGGTTATTAAAATACACTCTACGAAAATAAAAAAACCTGAAAAGTTTCATGCCTTTTTATCGTTTCTATTGGAATATAATCCATGACTGGTCGTTGGAAATTTGTCTGATCTGAGTATTAGGCTTAAGAGAGGATTTTGTGCGAGCAGTACACTAAATTGTGCGCTTAACAGCACTAAATTATGCGTTTAACAGGACATGAGAATATTTGGCAAGCACCTGAAAAGCATTGCCGAGCACATAAAAACGAAAACGAAACGTGCACCCGCTCCATGGAGCGTCGAACGAAAATATTTTCTAATGTAATATCTCTGTAATTGAATAGGAGAATGGAGCTTTCGTAGCTTTGTCGTATTAAACAGCTGATCAAGAGGTCTAACCGTAGAGCATGTACACCTGATCACACTCTGCTGCTAGCAAAATATATGGCACTTTTTGCTATCAAATATTTTTTCTGATCTGATAACCAAGTTTTTTTTTCATCGGTATATTTACGGTATATTTCGAAAATGAGACGGTATTTGTAGTGCGGCTTCTGTCAGAGGGTCACATTTTATCGACAAATACGCGGTCACACTGCGTGATTTCTGGTGGGTGGAGGAGTGTAGTGTGTGTATGTATGTGTGCTCGTTCTTGTTCCTGGGCCTGTTCTAGTTTTGATGATAGTGAGCGCCGTTAGACAAGGCTAACTGTAATTAGATTCGATCGCGTAAGGAGAGGCGCGTGCATTGCCCGGCGCAGCCTGCACAAAGCCGCCAATCCGCAACCCCTTTCCTGCCTACCTGTATTGAGTAAGAGTGAGATTTTTTTGGTGAGTGCGTTTTTCACGTAAATTCTTTGCACGCTAATACTCTTTATTCTCTCTTTGGTTCGCGAACAGACACAGGCACCATCCAGTGCCCACTGGCTTCATGGACGAACCCAATTCCATGCCCAGCACCTCGGTACCTACCACCCCACGGGGCCGGGGGCGCGGACGGCCGCCAAAGCGTGAACAGCCGGCACAGCCCCCCGATACAGACCTGCAGAATTTGCAAGATGCATCCGGTGTAGGTGGATCGGTGGTGCGCCCCTGTTCGCCCAACACCATCCGCCGCAGCTCCCGCAAGCGGTTCTGCAAATTCGATGTGCGCGACGTGCTCTGCCTGCGCAAGGAACACAAGATCCAGATTGAGGGACGCATCGACTCCAATGTGCCCGACACAGCAGCAGCAGCAACAGCAGCAACAGCAGCAGTAGTAGCTGTAGCACCACCTGCAACAGCCGCTGCTGCTGCCACGCTCCCTCCATCTGCCAATCGGCTGTTTTCTATGTTCCCGAGCACACGTCCACCGCCCAAACTGCCGCCGCCGCCACCTGTCCTGGGGATCTTCGTCAAGCCGCGGAGCACACCCAGCCTGATTGTGGCCCAGCTAAACAGCGAACCGTCGTCCAGCTGTAATCCATCGACAGCCTCCACTGCCACAGTGACTGCAGCATCCGCATCAGCACCAGCCGCCCGCAGGGGACGGGGGCGCCCCAGGACTAAAAATAAACTGGAGCAGACAATCAGCCAAAGCCAAAGCTTAAGCTTCTCCGATTCGGATTCGACAGGTGCCTCCTCGGGGAGCACTGGAAGCAGGGGTGGCAGCACGGACAGCAACGAGACAACGGCTTCCAGGCGAAAGTGCAGGGTGACCCTAAAGCGATTGAACTTTGTGCAGCGCCAGGGATCGTGGGACTCGGGGGACTCATCGACCGTTCTGGGCGACACTGTTGTGGACGTGAGCAGCTCCTCGTCCTCCGCGCCCTCCTCTCCCGTTCTGCAGGACGACAACGCTTTCGATGAGCAGCCAAAGAGGGAACCGATGACCATGTCCGTGTCCATGCCCACAGCCGACGATGACGACGACGACTCCTCGGACTCTCAGATAATCTTCACGGAGATCGACACGGGCAAGGAAGTGCCGGCCCGAATGAAGGAGGAGCCACAGCTAAAGCTGGAGCTAAAGGTAGAGCCACAGATTGAGACAGAGATTGAGCAACAGGAAGAGCAGGAGCCTGAACAGGAGCACGATCATGAAGTGCGTAATTTAATGATGGAGATCACTAATGGGTCGCGCAACCTCTGGTTCTTTGACGACGAGGAGGCAGACGAGGCGGAGACCTCTCCGGCCTCTCTGATGGCGTCGCGTCGCAGCAAGCGAACTGCCAAAACGGAGGCAGACTGCATCAGCAGCAGCAGCCACGTGGGCAAGACCCTCGAAGAGACATTCGCTCGAGGAGCAGCCGCAAGCAGCGAGCAGATTTTCCTCAAAGCAGAGTCGGACGAGGGCGAAGAGGAGGAGCACACGCTGATTGACTTGATAGAGGAGAGCCAAGAGGAGCAGGGAATCCAGGGGGAGTACGAGATGGTCATTGAGGAGGAGATGAAGGACGAAGTGCAAGTGAAAGTCATTGAACTGGATGGGCTGGTCTTTACGGCGACGGAGTCCGAGTCGGAAGCCTGTGCAGTAGAGGCTAGCATCAGAGGCGAGCATCAGGAGGATGCGGTCGCCACTGAAGTCACATTGAAAGAGTCCCCGGAGAAAAGCCCTAGAACCAGCACTAGCGGCAGCAGCAGCGCCAGCACCAGCACCAGCGCCATCACCAGAGTCCTGCCAAAGAAGGAACCGCAGGCGATCATTCTTTTTGAAGTTGAGGCCGCGAAAGAGGATGCCACGACAGAGCAGTCCAACGTGAATGTGGATGTGCCACCAGATCCACAAGAACCAGATATACTCGAGGATGTGATTGTCCCTATCCCAATCCCAATCCCAATGAAGGCCATGCCAGAGCCACAGCCAGAGATCTCATTACAAATCGAATCATCAAAGACACTGCCACAGTTGCCGCTGCAAGAGGAAAAGGAGAAGGAGAAGGAAGTTGGTCTGCCAGAGGATAAAATTCTAATAGAAATCGCAATGGAATCCATTTCAAAGCCAACACATGCAGCCAAGAGCCCAGCCGTAGAGGAGCCCCCTGCAGAAGAGGCACTAAAAGAAAATGAAAAGGTATCCCCCATCAAAGGGCCTGCCAAAGCAGAGCAGAGCGCAGGAAGTCCAAGCAGCAGCAGCAGACACTCCTTCCATGCCAGTCTGAATCCGAGTCCCACTGCCACTCCCATTGCCATTCCCATTCCCGCGGGCACGGAAGCGTCGTCTGCCTCCGGCTTCGTCGGGTGCAATGTCATATTCCAGGCCCTGGATATTGCCAATGCCCAGCCGCTGCGCGAAGATACGCACAAGAAGCTCAAGCTGGAGGCCAAGAAGGGGTCGCCCCCCATTCCATCGACTGGCGAAGAATGCCTGGAGTCGACGAACAACTCCCACAACCCCTTGAACGATATGAAACCCCTTGCGAACGGGCACAACAGGGGGAGTGACGCCATTGGGCGACCCAGCTCCCGTAACGACGATCTGGAGGGCGAAGAGGAGTACTCCTCCTCCTCCGAGCAGGCCAAGCAGTCCAAGGAGGAGACGCCTGAATCGAGTGAAGGCAAGAAGGGGAGTGAGAGTGCCACAGCAAAGCCAAAGCGACGTCTCACCACCACTTCCGAGCTGCCACATTCCGCTGCCGATGAAGAGGGGAAACAAAAATCGAAACGAAAATTCCGCTGCTCGGCAGTCGCGTCCTCCCCCTCTGCTTCACCCTACGATTCCAGGAAAGACGAGCCCAAAAGAGAGTCTCATGGTGCTTCACCACAGAAGGGAAAACCGATGCCATCGCGACGCTTCACTACTATCGATCGGCCGTCGTCGAATGCAACTTCCAGAGACGGCGGCATTCGCGGCGCCGCTTCCGGTGAATTCTCTAAATATGAGACAAGGAAACCATCACCTACGGCATTCAATGCATCCGTGAAACGACGTCCCACTGTTTCCGAGGGCTCGCTGTCCTCCTCCGTCGAATCACTGGTCCAAAAAGACTCCAAAAAAGACGAGGGAAAGACAGAATCTGGGGAGACGCCATCTCCTGCCATGAAGAGACGTCCCACTATTGGCGGCAGGTCCTCTTCTGCCTCCTCCTCGGTGGAGTCTCTGACACGAAAGACGGCATCACCAGGAGGGACGCTTTCTCCTGCGAATCTCACCAAAAACATACGCAAGTCGCGCTCCTCCGGGGAATGGCTAGAACGAGCAGATTCCAGGAAAGATAAGAGCGGCGCCGTCAACAGAACATCCCCCAGTCCACAGTCTCCGTCTCCTGCTCCGTCGCCTGCTCCGTCACCTGCTGCGTCTCCTGCTGCGTCTCCTGCTCCGGTTCCGATGGGACCCAAACAGGAGTCGCAGGGGAGGGCTATGCCATTGCGACGCCTCACAACCATCGATCGTCCGTCGTCGAATGCCAATCCCAAAGGGGCACGCCCCTCCTTCGAGCAGCTGCTCGGCCAGGCCGACTCCTATGTGAATCCACAGAAAAAGCGATGCCCCACCACTTCTGAGTGCTCCTCGCCCGCCACCGGCGAGTCGGTTGC